TAATTTTATTAATCTCTTTCTTACTCTTTAAATCTAATATATTATTAATAACTCGAAGATTTATATCTAGTGCTTATAGAAAAATAATTAATTCTCAAAAAGTATTAAAAGATTATTCTAAAATTCGATATTTTAAATATATAAAGATTAGTCGTTTTAGATTAGATATCTTATAAATATTAGTAAATTTTAAGAGAGTAATAGCTATAGAGAATCGTGTATAGAAGTTCTTAAATAATTTCTTTTTATCTATTACTTTTATATTAAATTTAAAATTAAATATCTTAATATTCGATTTAATAATCTTATTATACGTTTTAAATATATTATCTAATTCGTCGATTATTTCTTAAGCGATTTAATATAGATCTAAAATATCTTTATTTACTCTTATTTTAATAATATCGTAAATAGTAAACTTATAATAATTATGTATATAATTAATTTTTTTAAATTTAATAAAAAAGATTATAGCGCTTTATCTAAACTTCGCTTTAAGATATTAATATTAGCTATTCTACTTAGTTTAATTATTAATATTATAAAAATTTAAGATATTAAGATATCGTTTATTTAATTCTATACTCTCTATACGATTCGTAATAGAGATATAATATAAGTTTCGATAAATATTATTAATGAGAATACTCGGCTAATAAGATATAGATATAATTTCTATATCTTTCTTATCGAAGTTTTTTAAATTAGCTAATATATAAGATTATTACTTTTTTAACTATTACTCTTTACACTTTAAGTCTTACTTAAATTTCTTATTTTTTTTAATAAGTTTTATAATATTAATATAATATCTATTATGTAAATCTCGAAGTCTATTATTAATTTCTCGCTTATAAAATAATTAATTATTATTATTACTTAGCTAGATAATAATTACTAATATCTTTATCTTAATATAAATAATATTCTAATTAAATTATTTATTTTATTATTAAAGTACCTTAATATTATAATTAGTAATTCGAAAACTCTCTATTAAAGTCTTTAATTTATTATATTAAATATTAGAAATATCGATAGTGCTTTTTATAAAATTCTATAAATTAGCGATAGATATAAAGATTATAATAAACTCTTCTTTAATAATATTTATAAGTTATACTTTAATATAATCTAAATTAAATTTAATAGTATATCTTTTAAAGATAAAACGCTTTCTCTTATATCGTGCGGATAATATAATAATATTTAAGATTTTTTTATCGAAGTTCTCGAGTTCTTCTAGATAATAACGTATTTATAATTTATCTATAACGATTTAACTTTATATATTATTTAGATTTAAGATTAACGAGTTTATTAATATTAAGCTAGTAAAAGTATAAAGAAAATTTAGTCTAAAATCTATTTCTTTTAATGTATTAAAGATATTTTTTTTTTTAGATTCTTATTTAATCTAGTTAGATTAATCTTTATATAAGTAAAAGATTTTTTTTTAAATAATCTTTCGAGTAGTAAGCTTCTTTAATTATAACTATTAACTTCTTAATAATATACTTTTTTCTTAACTATATATTTAATATAACTAGTAAATAAATCGCTATCGCTTTAGAAGAAAGATAGATAATATTATATTAGAGACTTAATAATATATATAATAACTCTATATTATAGTATAAAGAGAATACTATTTATATAGAATTATTATAAGTATAGACTTTATAGTAAGATAGAAAGATTAAAAGATCTTAATACGCTAAGTCTAATTAGACTATAATATAAGTAAGTAAGATTATAAGATTATTAAAATCGTAATATTCTTTAAAATTAATTAATTGAAATATAATATACGTATATCCTCTTTTAATATATATATACCCCCTTTAAATCCGATTAGCTTTCGCGCGACCGCTAGTCGTATAAAGTATAAATCTCGTAGATAGTTAAAGTAGAACGGATAGCGAGATAGTCGATAGCGAGGTAGTCGATAGCGAGGTGAACGTGATACGCCCGAGATTATATTTAATATCTTTTAGCTGTAGAAAGACTAGATAGCTAATAGATAGTAGATATTCGAGTACGATAGACGTATTTCTAATAGCAACGAGAGAGGGTAGCTAGCTAATCAACTATCGCCCTAGAAGAATAATCTAAAGACCTTATTATTCGACGATTTAAAATCGTCTAATCTTTTAGAATATATTAGAAGAGATCTAGAAAGACTTATCTTACTATTACTAAGAGTCTCGATAATATTCCCTAGAAAGCTATATACGAGATTTATATCTTATGCGACTAGCGGCCGCGCGAAAGCTAATCGAATTTAAAGAGGATATATATATATTAAAAGAGGGTATATATATATCTGCAAATCTGAAAAGTGAATTTCTATATGATTTCCGTCGAATTCGCATTATAAGTACGATTTAGTACGATTTAGTCTATTAAGTAAACTTTATCTATATTTAATTCTTTTCGTTAATTCTATTAGTTTAGCAACTTTAAAAAAAAATTAGTAACTTTAAAAATTTTACGTAATATACTTTAATATACTCTAAGTACTATTCTATATATATATAATATTAATATATATTATTATTAATATACGTATTATTATACGCTATATTAGAGTATTACTTATACGACTAATTTTATTAAATCGTTTAATTTTATAGTTAAATTTAAATTAACGTTAATACTTATTATCGTAGAATCTTATCGTCGTAACGTCGATTATTAGAACTTTTCTTTTTTTATACGTATTATTACTAAATTGATAGAACTAGTAAAAAAGATTAGAATAGTTACTGAATCGGCGGAATTTAGGCGAATTCTAATTAGATTTACTAATCCGACGAATTTTATAATTTCCGCGACAAACGCGCGATTAGCAATTTCAAATTTTATAGAAACTTTTTAGATTTGCAGATGTATATTAAAAGAGAATATACGTATATTACTTTTTAATTAATTTTATAAAAAAAACTCTTCTTAATATATCTTAACTATTAATATAGAATTTCTCGTTTTTTTATTCTTTTTAAAATAGTTCTAGATTTTATAACGATATCGTAACGATTTCTTAGTTTTAAAACGATATCGTAACTGTGTTATAACGATATCGTAACGGTTTTAATATATAAAACGTATTAAAAATACTATAGTTATTTTAACTCGATACGATATTTTATTAATACGTACTAAGATATATAATCGTTAATTATTTAGTTCGTTTTTTATTCTTTATCGTTTAAAGGCGAAGATAGTCTACTAATACGTCTTAATTAAAATAAATAAATAATAATAATTATTAGAACTAGTATAGGTGCGATATTAGTATAGATGAGATAGAACGAGAATAATAAGACTATCGAACTATATATGTGAGAAGAAGGCATGATATAATAGAGGATATCTCCGTTAAGGCTCGCTAGTTATAGAGCTAAGTAATATATCAAGAATACGCTCGTAACACTACCCCCTCTCTTAAAGAGCTATAACCTCTATAGCTGGTAGATCGAAGATATAGACCTATTGCTTGCCTTATATCTCCAAACATCCATAGTCCCTACAGGCCTTAATTGGAGAAGATTTATCTAGGATCCTTTAGAGAATCAGAAGATGCAGGGTATATCTTGCCTGTGTACCTATAAGACTCTCCAAAACCTTCTCCAGTATTCTAGTCTTTCGAAAGAACCATCGCTCGCTAAAATTCATAAAGATAAAGACTTTTAGTGTATGCTATGGTAGGCCAAATTAGTACTTTTCTCCGACGGCGACTGCGACAGCGATATCGCGTCTCGGAGATTCCGCTAGCGCGTCGTCGATAGCACTTTATCGTAGCGTTAAGGGGCTTTTAATTTGACGAGAATCCATAAAGAATTGAATAGATAATAATCGAAAAAGGATTTGTTATGTAATGGCTATCTGATATAATAGAGAAGAAATCGATGAAATGATGCAATCTGATTCGTCGATACCTCCCGAACCGAACCGAGCCGCAGACGCTAAAACTCTAAATTAATATCAAATGATTCTGGTGTGAGTTTCTCCATGGGGTGCCACATAGCCGATCATCGATTAAGACTATCAACGACGACAGTGAGATCCATGAATAACGCACAATGACTTCGGAAGACCTTCAGGTATATAACAATAAGGGGAGCCTGCTTGATGGGCCTGACATAAGGTTATTATCAAGTAATATGGGCCTAAGGAATCAATTTGCGAATGTAAAAGGCCATTCTAATATTGAATGGTTTCAATTCGTTTAGAAACGCGATGTCCGAGATTTTGCCGGGCCACATGCTGTTACATCGCCCTCGAGATCTCGCTTATAGAAAGCCCTGGCAATTAAGCTCGTATGCTTCGTCGAAATTCATACCGGATTCGAAGTATTTATTATACTTTTATATATAAGCTTAGTTTTTATTCGTAAGGTCCTCTATCTTAGTAAGACTTAAATTCTCTATATTAAAAGTAAGACGAGTTATAATTAAGTATTTACTCTTCTTTACATTAGCCTCGACCTTTACTTTTACATATTACTCCGCGAATCTTTCGACTTTCTTTTTAATAAATCCTTTAGCAGATTTTTAATATTTAAGCTATATTTTTATAATATATTTCTTTAACTAAGACGTAGTTTAATTTCTTATTATTAGACGAATTAAGTTATAGAAACGAAGTTTCGATTTCTTTCATATATCGTTTATTAGACTTTTATTTCTAAGATCGTTAAGACTATTATTTCTAAAATTATATTCGATATACTTAATAAGATCATCGTAGAATTTAAGAAATAGTTAACTTTCTTAACTTATTTTATCGTAAATATATTAATAGATTTTTCTAAGAACGGATAAGGGTATTTTATACACGTTACTTAAATGATTCAGAAGATCGTCGACTGTAGAGTACGAGCGATATCGTCGTCTGATAGATACGTGCTGACTGGCTTCCCCTCCAAGTCTCGCTATAACGTAGGCAATTTTGAAAATATCGGTAGAGAAATAATTACCATTGTGGGTAAGCTTGTCCTAGATTCTCATTTTCCAGTCATCGAATGGTATTGAATTAGTGCCTGTGAAGACAGGTGGATCTGGTAGCCTTGGGCTAAGTGGTTGCCTGACTGGCTGTGGAGAGATTGGTCGATGTCGATGTGTTCTAAGTGCCTCGAAATCTCGTGGAGTGGGTGGAGGTGGGGATGGGGGTGGAACAGAGATCCCAGGCGAGTTTTGGCCCTGCGTCTCCTGTTGTTGTCCTGGTATCTCCTCTTGTTTGGTGTGGAATCGCTGATAAAGATCCTCAGCAGATAGAGAGCGCTGCACACGTGGCATATGGAGTCGTGGCGAATTTGGAGGCGAATATCTCGCATGTAGGTCGTCGTATGTAAGGTAGGGATGGCCTCGGTATGTAGGTGATCGGCGATGCGGAGGGACGTATTTTGGTGTTGATGTAGGTGGATTTGAGTGAGAATTTGAGGAACTCATGATGTGTTGAATGTAGGTAAAAACGGAGTGGAGCGGAGAGGTCTCTGAAATTCCGGTACTGTGAAGGCGTTTGCGAGTCGAGAAATTTGGCAGATCTCTGTGTTGAGAGTCGAAATTTGACTGTGACGCTCGAAATAGTATTGTTTCTTTACGGGGGTTTACAACACTCGTTCCTTGACCAATCAGGTCGCCGTAAAGACCATGAATACTTCGAGTATAACTCTTTTCAGTGATGTTACTCCGCTCAGGGGGTTGGTTGAGATTTGAGTAAGTTGTAATGCGGAGCGGAGAAGGATTTCTTGTATTCGATGTAGGGTTGATGGATTGGGCTACCGTTGATAATGTAGGCTATCTGATGTAAATTCTTTCGAATGATGTAGATATTTGATGATTTGAATATGTGGTGGGGCTTCTGTATGGTAGAAATACCCAGCGTTTTCTTTATCAGGCTCGGTCGCTTGCTCCGAGCAGAAAGTGAAAAAAACCCGTCAATTCTCTTCGCCGGGGGGTATACGAAGGAGCCTTATTATAATGTCAGGACTAGTATAGGTGCGATACCAGTATGGGTGAGGTAGAACGAGGATAATAAGGCTACCGAACTATGTAGGTGGGAAGGAGGCATGATATGGTAGGGGATGCCTCCGCCAAGGCCCGCTAGCCATAGGGCTGAGTGGTGTATCAAGGGTACGCTCGTAACAATAATTAGAAAAAATTATATATATATAAATTATAAAGAATCACATAAAGAATAAATTTCGTATATAAAATTTTTTAATTAAATAAATACGTATAAAGTTATTATATATATTTATAGATTTCGTTATTAGCGTAATTCGATTTTAGTATATCTAGACTGAATTGCTAATGCAAGCCCTTGAGTGTATCTGAGCGTGCTAAAAGCTGAATTAGCTATTTGAGCGTGCTAAAAGCTGAATTACGCTAAATATTGAATAACAACTAACGGCGATCTAGAGGCCCGAAAGTATCTTCTTAGCGTAAGACAGTTAAGACAGTGTATGCACAGCTTAAAAACTCCTAGTCTGAAACCCCCTATTAATAATTCTTTCTCTGGCAGTAGCCAGCCTCATTCTACCTTCAGAGAGTCGCCTATCATGCCCAAATCCAAGAACAAGAAAGAAATTAAGGATTTTACTGCAGGTAGACCTCCGTCCACGGATCGATTGCGTCTTCTACCTCTTGAGATACGATTACGCATCTACGACTTTGCTTCGGAACCCTTGACGGTACATGTCAGAAGGAAATGGAAAGGGCGTGAAACAGCATATTCGCGGCTTCTGTCATTGCCTCGGGACAAAAGATACATCGCTTTCCGCCAGCGACACCCTGGTAAGGCGCATGAAGCTTGGCCACCTTCCATTGAAGAGGCATTATTCATAGGTATAAAGGTCGCTGATGTAGCAAATGTCAATATTGCTTACAATCAGTATAGCTCTGGAATGGACTCAGGAAATCCTTGGCGGAATTCCAGGCCTCGGACCCATGAGTGAAATCATCTACGAACATACTGGGGAGCACCGAAGCAGGAAGCAGGTTTCTACCTACCTCCGACGATTAGAAATAGGCAACAGCTACACCTACGACCCAAGAAGTCTCAAGCTGATACCCGGAACGTGCTCGACAATAGTTTACGTGAGACCAAGCGAACGGTTGAAAAGATTCAGAAGGAGTCCAATGCACTTCTCCGTCTCTCAATATGCCACGTCCGCAAGCGTTGGATCAATGCTCCAAAGTCTCCAGGATATCGCCTCCCAATTACCCGCAGCGGTTCAGGCCGACCAGAAATTCCTCTCGCTTATGGACCAGCCAAACCCTACATTAAATGGCGATGTCAACATCTTCCGCGAGTTTACACGGATAGTTGCCGACTACGTCAATGACTTTGACATCTATCTCGCGGCCCCTCTACCTGAGTGCTACTTCTCTCTGCTTTCCATCTCTCGCTTCTACCGTATCGATGCCCTTGCCAACATGGCATCCAGCATCGTTTACGACTTTGGGAACGAATTGACGATGCTGCGTGATTTCAGCAAGCTCCTCAGTCCAGGATCCCACCGCTATATCAGGCATGTCAAGATCAACATGGTCGAAGCTTTCATGCTCCACAACGAGACTCTGCCCTTTATCTCGGAACCAGCCCTCAGCAAGAACTTGGAAGCCACATTGCCCAGCCTGCGCACCTTAACCATCGACCTTTGGCCACGTGACCCAGCGCGCACGGACAAAGAGAGCAGAGCATGGGGTGAGCAGAGCGAAGTCCTTATCCAATCTCTGCACAATGTTAAGGCGAAGGTGAGACTGCAGTTGAGATGGGCAGCGGATTGTGAGAGGTTTGAGAGAGAGTATGTGAGGAATGGGGAATGGAAACGTGTTTGGAGGGACATGCCCGGAGACCAGTCAAACAGCAACGACGGGATCTGTCACAGCTGCTATGAGCTCCATGGCAGTAGTTACAAGGAAGTGGAACGTTGTGGCAGCGAGCAATAGCAGACAAGCATTTCGGGCCCACCAGGCCGTTGATTTCAGGCCGGTAGTCTGGTATGTCGAGGATTAGACGATATCAGTATTGGGGGCAATACATGTTGGGTACTAGATCCGTACTCTCTGTCAAGGGTTTGGAATTTACAAATTCGAAGTAAGGGGTTTTGGTGCCTAGCAAAGTCGATGCAAGGGGATTCTGGCTCTCATCTGCGGACGTGCTTTTAAACCTCTGAAAGGGACGTTGTTTTGCTCTATCGAATACTGTTAGCAATTGGAACATCATCAGTAATCACCCTGCTTGGAAAGCTATGCTGATCGATTCACTCAAGACCCTCCCACCTGAATTGCGGGAGTTTGTCTACTCCTACTTATTGTCCGGTGACGAAGACGGTACAGTACGCATAAGACAGAGACGGAATGTTGAAGACGGGCTCTGGTCTACCGAGGATTTATCTGCCGTACTCGCATCAAATGAAAACCCAATATATGTTGCCCGCCGTCGACAAAGACTTCATCAGAATTGGCCCAACGAGGTCGAGGATGCCTTTTTCCAAGGTATGTGAAGATGAAGTCTCAACATGCACGTACTGATCCACTAAAGCCATGGAATGGCTTAGCAAATACGACGTAAGATCCCGTCGACTTCCGAGCGGGAACAGGGTCATATCTGAGCTCATCTACGAGCTTACGGGGCAAGTGAGAAGTCGGAAGCAGATCTCGAGCCATATCCAAGAATTGAGGGTGTATTCACGCCTCGGACGAACCGAAACTGCGCAAGACGTCGATACACAGCAGGCTACCAAAGTCGTGAATCCTGGACCGGCAGTCTCGTATCAAAATTCAACAATCTTGACCAAAATTTCCGACTCCCTCTCGACCACGGCATCGAAATCAAAAGGAAATCTCTCGCTCCACTGCAGCACCACCTTCGCCCAGAACCTCCTCTCCCTTAGCTTTGTCAACCGTCTCTACCGGAACGAGTGCCTCCATCATCTAGCATCAAACATACGTTTCGACTTCGGATTTGACGGTCATGCACTGCAGCACTTTTGCAGTACCGCGCCCGCGGAGATTTTCAAAGCAATGCGCCACTTGCGCGTCACATTGGTCGAAGGCTATATGCCTCAATTGCCCGACTTGCCGAACCTTCACACTCTCGCTGTTGATCTGTGGCCGCGCAATCCGACACGCAGGCCGCCAAACATACACCGCCCGGATTCGACTGATAGGGCGTGGGGCACGCAGACGGAGAAGCTCCTGGACGGTTCGGGGGTGGTGTTGGCGGTGAGGGCCAGAATCAGGCTGGAGATGAGATGGGCTGCGGATTGCGAGAGGTTCGAGAGGGAGTATGTAGAAAGGGGACGATGGAGACGAGTGAATAGAGATAATGAAAACGGTGCTTCGGATCAAGAGGGACCGACTTGTCGTAGGTGCTACGAACTGTGTGGCAATGGGAAGACTGTTGTGGAAGTGACAGGAAAGGAGAAGGAAGCAGCGTCTGCGGGTCACCAGGGGGTGCAAAAAGTGACGAGGCCAACTAGACCGGATTTGGACAGCTTCTCCAGACCAAACTGGCAACATTTCTGCTATTCTACCACTACCAGATCACCACGTAGCTGATTTAATACCCTTGCCACTGTTATTTACAAGCCATGAACAGCGTTTCGGCATCTCATCGATCCGTTTCTGGATTTCTTCTGAGAAATCTCCTCCCAGGGGTTGCTATGTGGTTACGTCCAAATTCGGCCTAGTTGGCCTCGTCACTTTTGGAAAGCTTGCTTTCTCAATGCTCAAGACTTGAAATCCCAAATGGCTTCTACGCTAAGAGGCTAGTGACCAATCAGATCCTCGATTTCCACGATTTCTAGTCTAAAATACACCTTATTTCTTCATTTTCGTTCTAAACACGGGTACGTCCAAAGAGAAAGCATTAGGGCTATCAAAGTTACTTCTACTTCTTCTAGCTTAAAATATAATAAGCTACTAGTTCTTTGATAGCACCCTACTCATTTCTACTTATAGATAGTAACTATTTCTTCTTCTTCTTAAATAGCCTCGTAATAGTAATACCGTGTTAACTATATTCGATATAGGGCCTTAGCGGATAAAAACGGTCCGAGTGCACATAAAACACCTCTCAAAGTCATTACAACGATTATCCTTATCGCAGTTATGACTTCCACTTCCGCCGCAGTGGTAAGTAGATAGCTAATACAGGCTGTTAGAAAATATCAGGTATGTGATGATATAAAACAGACGGATTGATTCTCCAAAACCTCTCCGGGGCCAGATCCTAAATACAGTACAAAATCAGGTGGCGGGAAAACATGGTGGCTGGGATGCGCGGAGGCCAAAAACATGGTGGCTAGGATGCGCGGGGGCCACATTTCGGCGTCTGTCAAGGCGCGTTTGGGCTTCTTTCTAGCCATAACGCCTGTAGAATCAGGCTTGGCAAGAGATGGCGTGTTATATATATAGAAGGCTACTCTAGAATGTGTAATAGAATACGCAATAAGTAGCTTATGGAGTTGAATAGCAGGTCCGGAGTTGCTATTCAAAAGTCGTTTTTTCTACTTATCATAGGGCTGAAATAGGGCTGCAGGGGTAAATAAGTGACTTATTTCATACGGAGGTTGCCACCGAAAGTCCTGAACATTAGGGTTAGGGCTTTCAAACCCTTGGCATTCTTAGCAAATATCTTAAATATCTTAAATATCAATGCTTTGCATAGTAGCGACATCACTGCTATATATATGGGTGTATGTATATGAAGTACATAGTAGCGATATTACTGCATGCATACGGGGTATACAGTTGCGATATTATTGAATCTAATATATTTGATTAAAAAAAAAAAAAAAAAAAAAAAAAAAAAAAAAAAAAAAAAAAAAAAAAAAAAAAAAAAAAAAACGAATAATGATATTAGTGGTGTCATATGAATGGAATATTAACTATGAAGGTTGCTAAGTAACATGTGTGCCGAAGTCATCAGAGTGCCAAGCCGCCAAGGAGCTAGCCCGAATGGAGCCTAGCGCAAGTCTGGAGAAGGAATGCCGGTTGAAACCATGACATTACCCCCCTCAAATGGCCATGTCCCTATGGTCCAAATCATGGCGACGGCGAGGTGGCAACAGCGAGACGATCGTCATGATCCATGGTGCACTGGCCTTTATGGCCTGAAGCATATTTGCTACCCCTGAAACAACAACTTTGAACTTTTTCTCGCAGACACTCTCAGTGTCCGACCGTGGCATTGAGCCAAATCTCATGGAGGGCCTGCGGACGCAGGCAACAGGGGGTATCAATGTGGGGCAATAGCCCGGGAAGGTGCTTGAAGTAATGGTGTGGGGTGTGGGGTGTATGTGTGAAGATGGTGGGGGTGCTGAGAGCCGAATCGAAACTGATTTACGCATGCGGCTAGGCGGAACGGTTGTTGCTGGTCAGGGGAAGGAGGAGAAATCCATTGCTGCTGCTGCAGGCAAGGCCTATGCCGTCATTGCTTCTCCACAGCCTTCTCCACAGCCTGTTCCTTGGCCACAATGGCCTTTGCCTCTTCAGACGACAATGCCTTTGAGGCCATGCATGCCTCAGTCTGATTGGGCCGATGGCCATAGCTAAGGCATTTGAAACATCGGCCTTCTTTCTTCAGCTGATCCTTCAGCTGTTCCGAATAGGGTGATCGCTGTGGGCTTGATTTGAACTCCTGTTCATCAATCTCTTCCACATCCACGTGCATAGCCTCCAATTGACGGAGGTCTTGGTCAGTCTTTCGCAAATGCTCAACAACTGAGCGGAAGGAAGACGATGAGATACCGGCGATTCGTGACCGGAGCTTAAGAGTAATGAGTCTTCGTAGTGCAGCGATCTTGTGACTTTCGCTATAGCCCAATGGCGTAATAGTAGCTGAAAATCGAGCATAGAACTCGTCAAATGCCTCCTTCTTTTTCATAGTAAACGCCGGGTCATGAAGTAGGGCGTTATTCTTTGCCAGCTTATCGTAATCACCAAACATGCTATAAAGCTCTGAAATCATCTCTTTCGTGGTGTTGTAGGGATCCTCGCTTAGTGGATCTGCTCGTGCCTTAAGCATATCGAATGCAATTGACTTGCAGTGGTCCCGAATATAATCCATTTTGTCTTTTTCACTGGGAAATAATACGGCACTTTGCCGAAACTTGGAGTCCAGGTGGAATCGCCACTCGTCCTACTTCTCTTTTCACCATAGAAGTAGGGCACATCAGGGTATTTCTTATTGTTCCCGACAACAAGGACAGTAGGGACAGGTGTTCCCGTCTTGGTAACTTCCAATTTGATTGGTTGTTCATCCACATCGGAATCCAGAGGCTCTGCTAGAGTAACCGTTTCTTCTTTGATAGTCAAGGCCTGAATTTTGGCCTGCAATTCCGTGTTCGTAGCAGTGAGAGTCTTTGCATTGGAACGATGAAGGTCCCGTGACTCTCGAAGTCGTGTTACGGTTGTGTTGAGATTCTGAATAGTAGTGTTAAGGCCACGAATCTGGGCCTGGTAATGCTGAATCGTCAATGACGATTCAGGACGGGTTTCTTCTTGATCCGAGTCCATAACGGATCAGGTGGAGATCTCTCCACTGATGCAGGCAGGTAACAGGTAAGGCAAGCGAGAGATAGTCGAAATATTCCCCGCAGAGGCAGGGTAGGCAGGTAGGCAGGGAATTCTCCACTGATGCAGGCAGGTAACAGGTAAGGCAAGCGAGAGATAGTCGAAATATCTCCCCGCAGAGGCAGGGTAGGCAGGCAGGTAGGGAATCGTCCGAATATCTCCTCCACAACAAGGCGATTGAGTAGTCGATATTCGAGAGATCTCCGCAGGGTAGGGCAGGCAGGCAGGCAGGCAGGTAGGGAATCGTCCGGATATCTCCTCCACAACAAGGCGATTGAGTAGTCGATATTCGAGAGATCCCCGCAGGGTAGGGCAGGCAGGCAGGCAGGCAGGTAGGGAATCGTCCGGATATCTCCTCCACAACAAGGCGATTGAGTAGTCGATATTCGAGAGATCCCCGCAGAGGCAGGGCAGGCAGGCAGGCAGGCAGGTAGGCAGGCAGGGAATCGTCCGGATATCTCCTCCACAACAAGGCGATTGAGTAGTCGATATTCGAGAGATCCCCGCAGAGGCAGGGCAGGCAGGCAGGCAGGCAGGTAGGGAATCGTCCGGATATCTCCTCCACAACAAGGCGATTGAGTAGTCGATATTCGAGAGATCTCCGCAGGGCAGGGCAGGCAGGCAGGCAGGCAGGTAGGGAATCGTCCGGATATCTCCTCCACAACAAGGCGATTGAGTAGTCGATATTCGAGAGATCTCCGTAGGGCAGGGCAGGCAGGCAGGCAGGCAGGTAGGGAATCGTCCGGATATCTCCTCCACAACAAGGCGATTGAGTAGTCGATATTCGAGAGATCTCCGCAGGGCAGGGTAGGTAGGCAGGCAGGAGCAGGCAGGCAACAATAGCTTAGCTCACGGCTATGTTGGATAGTTAATATTATGTCAGGGAATGAACCGTGTATCGAATAATGATATTAGTGGTGTCATATGAATGGAATATTAACTATGAAGGTTGCTAAGTAACATGTGTGCCGAAGTCATCAGAGTGCCAAGCCGCCAAGGAGCTAGCCCGAATGGAGCCTAGCGCAAGTCTGGAGAAGGAATGCCGGTTGAAACCATGACACCCCCCCCCAGAGGCCCCCCAAAGCCCCCCCAAAACCCCCCGGGGGGGGAGAGGGGGTTTTGGGCCCCCCCCCAAAAAAAATCACCCCCCCCCCCCCTTTTTATTCCCCAAAACCCCCCAAAAAACCCCCCCCTTCTTTTTATTTCCTCCACCCCCTTTATTTGAAAAAAAAAAAAAAAAAAAAAAAAAAAAAAAAAAAAAAAAAAAAAAAAAAAAAAAAAAAAAAAAAAATAAAAACAAAACACCCCCCCCCACAAAAACCCCCAAAAAAAACCAAAAAAAAAACAAAAATAAAAAAAAAAAAAAAAAAAAAAAAAAAAAAAAAAAAAAAAAAAAAAAAAAAAAACCCCCCCCCCCCCCACCCCCCCCCCCCCAAAAAAAAAAAAAAAAAAAAAAAAAAAAAAAAAAAAAAAAAAAAAAAAAAAAAAAAAAAAAATTTATTCCCCCCTCCCCCCCCCCCCCTCAAAAAAAAAAAAAAAAAAAAAAAAAAAAAAAAAAAAAAAAAGTGGAATAAATACTGCAACGACAACGCACGCATTTAAAAGCCTGAGCTCTTGGGGATTGTCGGTTCTCTCAGAAAGTTGATAGTCGCGTACGTTGACCAGATCAAGAACACAATGCTGTGCCCTGCGAACGTGATCGGAGGATTGAGTAGCTGCGTTCAGGAAAGAGCGCTCGATGTCGAGAGGCGAACGCTAGGGTTGTTGTGGACTTAAGGTGGGATCGCGGCTGTCGATACTTCAAGGGGAGCTATGTGGATGAAGGAGGATCGAAGACGATCGAGAGAGTGAAGGGTTTGAGGGCCAGTATGCCTGGTCACACGTGACTTGTAGATTATGGCAAATTGTTGAGAATGATAGGAGGATGATGACGCGCTGTGCCTGTAGTGCGAGAATCGCTGTCAGATGGTCGATACGGAGATGAATGTGCTGGAGATTTCAAAAATTTAATAAGCAGCGAAGGTTCTTGAAGCACTTTAGAAGTGGTGTAAAAGGCGTGAACATTTCTTGCTGTACTACCTAGCACGAACAGTAGGTGCTTTCACCCGGGGACTGGCATTCGTGGAGGCCTTGGCTTTGGAATGCTTGATGTCTTTGGAGCCAGTAGTAGCAACTTTCGATGGGTGCTTAACAGCAGTCGTTCCGTTAGTCGTCTCCTCCTTCTCGACTGACTTGGCGTTGATATCGGCCTTCTTCTTCCCATTCACGGCCTTGGGATCAATCCCTTTCCTCCTCAAGCGATTTCTCCTTGCCTTCTCCATGTATTTCTCATCCTCCGAGTCATCGAAACTACCAAAAGCTTGCTCCTCATCTTCGTCATCAGTTGCGATCGGCGTCCTGTCTACCATACCCAATGGATCGCTATTCTTAGCGCCATTCGCTACTCCCTCCTTTGTCGACATATTTGGCGATGGTCCCGTCTTCTTGAACTTGCTCACGAAGAAGCCGTCGACATTGTAAGCGTGTGGGTAGAACCGTTTCGTCATCTTCATCTTCGGATCGAACTGCTTGCCCATGTAGCTCACAAAGCCATCTACACCAAATGTCAAGCCTGTCTCTACAAGCTTGACATTCGGTCGTTTCTTAAGAGCGTAATGCACAACCTGTTCGTTCTCCTCAATGGATACGCTACACGTCGAGTAGATGATGTAGCCTCCAGTCTTACTCGTGTGATCGACAGAGTCAATAGCGCAGAGTAAAAGCTGCTTCTGTAGGTGCGGCAGTTGCATGAAGTCTTTCTCCGTTTTGTTCGTCTTGATGCTGGGATCTTTCGCGATAACGCCCGTACCAGAACACGGAGCATCGAGTAGTACGCGATCGAAGCCACCGATCACCCTTGGAAATTCTCTAGCGTCATGGTTGCAAACAATGGTATTTTTGACACCGAGACGGTGAATATTGCCTATCAAAGCCTTGGTTCTGTTTTTGTTACTGTCATTTGCAAATATGCTGCCGGTGTTCTTCATCAGAGCGGCGATATAGGTAGTCTTTCCACCAGGGGCCGCTGTCATATCCAGAATCCTTTCATGTTCTTGAGGTGCGAGAGCCATAACGGGGAGGAACGAAGACGCGGCCATGATGATGTACTGGCCAGCAAGATACTCCGGCGTAGCTCCCAAGGGTACTTGGCTTTCGAATACCTGCAACCCAACTTTCGACCACTTCCCCACAGGCTCAAGCGTCACGCCTTTGTTGATGAGCGATTGCGCTAGCTCTCGGCGATGGGTTCGGATGGTATTTGTGCGTATGACAACTGGGCGGGCAGATTCATTAGCTTCGAAGAATGCGAATGCTTCTCGGGGTGTGAAGAGGTTGAAGAGCTTTTCTGCAAGGTAGGAAGAGTAGCCGTAGTAGAGGCAGACATCTTTAATGAGTTGGGCTGTGTATTCGGCGCGGGATCGACCCGGTTCAGAAAGTTTGGAGAAGTCGTCCAGGACGCGGACGGTGTCTGTAATGCGTGATCGAAGGAGTTGCAGGTCTGGCGCCAGTCTCGATACTGGGCCTGCATCTTCATCCTCATCGTCCAAGACATTTGGTCGGTCACCATCTAGGTTGGTTTGCAAAGCTGCTTCTTCCAGCTCAAGCTGCGCCTCCGCTGCGTCTTCCTCTTGCCTTTCATCTAGTCGCCTCGACAGTCCCGCGATGTTTGCAGCCGTGAGTTTCTCTTCGGCATCAGACTCATCTTCATCCTCCGAAAATCTCGCTTTCTCTTGCTGTGGGTCCGAATCATACACCGAAGATTCAGACCCTAAAAACTCATCCCCCAGGCCCTTCCCATCTTCCGACATGCCATCTTCCTCTCCACCAAGCAAGCCTGCATCCTTTTCCTCCTCTCCTCCTAAAAGGTCCGCCGCATCATCGTCGGTGCTAATTTCCTTCTCATTGCCTCTCAAAAAATCTGCCGCATCGTCGTCCGAGCTCTCGTCTTCGTCTTGCAGCGCACCAGACATGACAGCATCAGCCATCCTCATTCCCTTTCCACCTTTTTGTCCCTTCTGCGCCTTGCCGAAGCCATTGGCGAACTTTCCCTTGGTAGCAAGCTTAAGTCCCGAGTTCGCGGTGTGATTGTATGCTGGATTCGCAGGTGTTGGCACTCTAATTTCTCCAGAGGCTTTTCTCTTCTTCCCTCTCGCAGAGTCGTCAAAGTCGCCGGCTTTGCGTTTCATCAGAGAGGAGATGCGAGACTCGTCCAAGGGTGGCGGCGGACCTTGCTTCTTCATGCGGCGACCTACTCCCATGATTGCGACTGTGGGTTCTTATAAGACTGTACTTTTGTAAAATTCGACCGCCGTCAAGTAGTCCCCGTTCAGAATCCAGAAAAGTTCGTGCGATAGGGCTGCCAGTTATCTTAGCGCCTTGGCACCTCTCCACTACCAAAGGACTAAAGTATGGAGCTCTCTCCGCGCTTTCTTACCTTAACATGCAATCCGAGCACCACGAAACCCTCTTCTCCATATTTAGCAAAACACACCCGCCCGACTACCTCCCCGACGGCACAATGACCGAACTATCCTTCGCCAAGACATTTCTCTCCTCACTCGACTCCCGCCCTCTCAAACTCGGACCAGATTACACTGCAAACCCCAAAACCGTCGAGCTGAATGGACCGTACACGCTGCCCAAGATGCCTACGCCATTCAAGCGGGCAACACAATCGGGGCTGGTAGACGAGGCGGCGCAGAAGCCTAGTGTGCTCAACGTTACGCTGAAGAGCTCGAGGAATCCGGTGCTGAGTCTAAGCCTGCCGAGCACCGATTTGGGCACGACGGTGCTTGATTTCAAGCAGAGGGTGGCTTCGGATTTGAAGCTCGGAGGAACGGAGAAGATACGCATACTGTACAACAAGAAGCCAGCAGGGGATGTGAAGACGCTGAAGGAGCTTATCGGAGACGAGCCTCTACAAGCAGGTCAAGAACTAGAGCTAGGCGTCATGGTTATGGGATACAAAGAAGCCGATGTAGCGAAGACGGAGGATTCGACTATGAGAGATGCAGAGGGAGAGACGTCAATTGCGCAGGGACCGAGTGGAGAGGAGGTGCTCAGTGCGGAGGAGTTCTGGACAGACCTTAAGGGGTTCTTGGTGCAGAGGCTACGGGATGAGGGGAAGGCTGGGGAGGTATTTGATAAGTTTAGGGGGAGTTGGGAGAAGAGGTAGCAGCGGTGCCCTAGAGCAGTGTTTTAAGGCATGGAAACGCGGGTTCCGTACACATATCGGCGAACAGCCACAGCAAGTTTTGGGCATTCGAGAGCAGCGGAATCTGACTTCAGAAGCTCGGGTAGGCACTGGCTCAGTAACGTTGGGCAATGGGCACAGAGCACGTCAAAGACGTCAAGCTTCGAGTCGTACAAGTAGTGAAACAGATGATCGATCATGAGCATGGAATCTATGCACCACAGGCTCTTCAAACTAGTTTGCCCACCAAATCTTCAACAATCCTTCCACCTTTCCCATGCCGTCCTTCGTCAGCAGTGTTCCCAAGCTCCGCTCTAGCGCTTTCCTTTGCTGATGTCCTTCAGAATGGTTGCGTACTCTATTTCGTCATCCCGGTTGGCTTGTACTTCGGCTGCGATACCGTTGAGCGCGTTCTTGAGGGATTCCTTTGATGATGCGTAGGTCATTCTTGGCTGCAAGATTCCCAAAATTCAGCTTTATGTCAATGAGCACAGCGTAAATGACAATCTTACGAAGACCAATGTTCCCTCATCTGGGCTCCACGAAATGAAGACAATCTTGTTCCTATCCCTTTGTCAGCCTCATCTTCCCGCCCAGGTTCCTTCTATTAAGAAGTCACAGCATACCTCGTTCCCTCACCCCCCTCCAACTCATACTGAAAGTCATAAACGGCATATCTGGGTCCCTTGCCCTCCTTCCCCTTATGCCCCGCCTTTGCATTCATCAGCTTGCTCTGGAACGTCTCCCAGTCAGGATCAGAGCTCGAGTCCTCGACGACAATCTCCTTGTAGTCATCGGACAGCTTGTAGATGATGTATTTGACCGATTTGCCTAGCTTGAGCTCATTGAACTTAGATATGCACTCGGGCGAGACGGAGACTCTAGTGGACGCTGTGGTGTTAGCGGAACGAGTTGAACTAGGGTAAAGCCGCGTTTCTTCGGTTTTTCTGCATCATAAGGGAAGTAAGGCAGGTGGGAATGGGGGAGGGGTACCCGGATTTACTCTATGAAACGGTTAGCACGTCCTTTTGTGTCGCTGGCGGAGGAGGCACGCGAAGGGCAAGCTTACCATGATTTCGCAGGGTCGAGAAGACCAAGAGAGTGAAGATAGATAGGATGGTTAGAAAGCTGTATATCCAGCACGGCGTCAGCGTCAGCTTGAGTCAACTTGGCAGCCTGGCACCTGGCACAAGGGCGTGCAGGTGGGGTGGGGAAGGATGAGATGGAAGGCACAGAAGCTGATTGGCATACCAAATAATAGCAGCTTACAATATTGTGGGCGGTGCTTTGGTAGCTGGTTGTTGTGTAGAAAGGAAGTAGAGTACCTAAGACAATCCTTGCCGTTGCGGTAGTGGGGAGCAACATTGTTGTCGCTTGGCGGCTGGTGGGGCGAACCTTTGCTAGCGCCCTTTCCTCGAGTGTACTCCAAGGATTGAACGACGCTGAAAGAAATCTAGTGGTGACTGATGAACGCTGAGGTACTGAATGTTTTGAGTTTTTGTATTATGATCCAAGCTATGGACACTTTGTACATTTGTATCTTACATGAAATCGACCGCTTTTGCTATGCTATCAGGCAGGGTGCGAAAGTAACCTGAGTGGAGAGACCCAAGGGGGGTGCGATAACGACACTTGCCGAGAATCAAAGTCATGTCCAGTACGCCGGCTGTGGATATCGACGAAGAGAAGCAGAGACGGCATGTCCGCTTAAAACATGCCTCCACCGCCCATGCCACCCATTCCTCCCATGCCTCCGCCTCCCATACCACCACCTGGCGGCCCCTTCTCTTCTGGCGCCTCAGTGATGGCGACCTCCGTGGTACCAAGCAGCGAAGCGACGCCACTAGCATCAACGAGAGCAGTGCGGACGACCTTAAATGGATCAACTATACCGGAAGCGATCATGTCAACATATTCGCCCTTTGCGCTGTCAAAGCCCTTGTTAAAATCTGATCCGAATTCATCCATAAGCTTGCCAACGACAACGCTACCTTCAGTACCAGCGTTCTCGACAATTGTCCGTGCTGGGCGAGTGATGGCGCTCTTGATGATACTGACACCCAGCTGTTGATCAAAGTTGGTGGGCTTGACGGAGCCTAGCGCATTGGCGGCAGCTTTCAAGAGTGCAGTCCCTCCACCTGGTAGGATACCTTCCTCTACGGCTGCACGGGTCGCGTTCAAAGCATCAACAACGCGGTCCTTCTTCTCTCCAACTTCAATTTCGGAAGCACCTCCAACCTTGATCACAGCCACGCCTCCGGACAGCTTAGCCAGGCGCTCTTGTAGCTTCTCCTTCTCGTAGTCTGACGTTGATGGATCATTCATGACGCCGCGAATCTGCTCGCATCTCTGCGCTATTGCGTCTTTGCTGCCCTCGCCGTTGAGTATGATGGTGTCCTCTTTCGTAATCGTGATCGAGCCAGTTGATCCAAGCATATCCGGCGTAGCTTTCTCCAATTTGATGTCAAGCTCGTCCGTGAACACAGTGGCGTTGGTGAGAATGCCGAGATCGCCCAGAATGGATTTGCGATTGTCACCAAAACCAGGAGCCTTGACAGCGGCAACTTGTAGCTGACCACGTAGCTTGTTGAGGATACAGACTGCCAAAGCTTCTCCATCGATGTCCTCAGCAATGATGACGAGTGGGCGACGCATCTGAGTGGAGGCTTCGAGCGCGGGTATTATGTCCTGGACTGCGGATATCTTCTTCTCTGACAGAAGGATCAAGGGCTTCTCGAATTCAACCTTTTGGGACTTGGTATCGGTGATGAAGTATGCGGAGGTGAAGCCACGGTCGAATCTCATACCCTCAGTGACCTCAAGCTCGTCCTCGATCGTCTTTCCCTCTTTGACAGTGATAACGCCCTCCTTGCCAACCTTCTCCATAGCATTTGAGATAAGCTTTCCCACATGGGTATCACCGTTTGCTGAGATGGTGGCCACCTGAGCAATCTCTTCGCCAGTGGTGATATCGCGCTTGTTGTTCTGTAGATATTGCACCACTGCTTCGACAGCGGCTTGTGTACCTCTCCTCAAATCCATAGGATTGCATCCGGCAGCGACGTTCTTGACGGTCTCAGAGAAGATGGCGCGAGCGAGGACAGTGGCGGTTGTGGTACCATCACCAGCTACCTCGTTTGTTTTCGAGGCAACATCTTGTAAGAGACGGGCACCAAGGTTTTCGAACTTGTCCTGTAGAGTGATCGCTTTAGCGACGGTCACACCATCTATAAGCTGATCTTTAGCATGGGCATCTTTTCTCTAATGGTCTTTTGAGCGGCACCTTTGGTGATCTTCGGAGAGCCATAGCTCGATTCGATCAAGACATTTCGTCCTTTGGGTCCTAGTGTGGTTGCTACAGCTTTGGAGAGTGTCTCAACGCCCTTCAGTAGGGCCGCCCTCCCGTCGACGCCGAATTTAAGGTCCTACACAGCGCAGCGTTAGTGATTGAATAGCTTGATCGACGTTGCTAACGATCCTAAGGGACGATTTGAGGATCGATAGCAGGCGAGCTAGAGGAGCAAGCAAGACAGTCGCGCGTACCTTATGAGCGAATCTCTGCTGCTGAAAGTTGAGGGCGGTAGCAGCGGCCGGCCGTGATCTTGAAAGTGTGCTGGAGTATGGGGAGACTGATGGCAGGAGCGAAGCTCGCCCTCTTGAGCTGAGAGCTCGCTGCATATTTTCGATAGAGCTTGATCCTCGGGGCAAAGAAAGAGGACTGATGGATCTGTTGTAGACAGGACTAAGGTACCTTATAGAATGAGCAGTGGAAATGCAAAACTAAGTATTGAACCAGCGAGCATCAAAAATATTTCTGGATGATTCTTCGACTAGTCCTAAAAGCGTAAAAGTTGCCGAGTACCCCTGTCGTTTGGATATAGGGTTTTTCCGGAGTCCGGTTTACTCTTAACGTCTGTTCACTCCCTTCTCTCAATACTACTGCTGCTTCTTACTGATGGTTGTGCTCCTGTGATTGTCAGTGCCCTTCAGAACTGTTTATGTGTGCTTCTAAGTTTCTTCGCCGCACTGACTGGATCCAGACTGTCAGGATCAAAAAGGGAAAGGCTGAGAAGAATGAAGGTGAGTGTGCAGAAAGCAGAGAATCATCACTACAATCCCACTCAATGAAGGCAATGGAGCTTGGTATAGTGTGAGCATTGAGACCCTATTCCAGTGCGAGATCCGATGTTGCTGTCAAAGGAGAAGTGTACAGTAAGCCAATCAGTATAAATTGCATTGCCTTTCGCATCTCTTAGAGAAGACATTTTTCTATGCGCAAAGATATTCTGCAATCCACAAGGAATACTGTGATGGTTGTGTTATTGGTCGTCATCCCTTGAGATGCGGGAGATGTTTGCAGACCCTTCCCAAACCCCCCACTCCCTACCTGCATGACAACGTGAACGTGCCAATCAGAGAATAACGGAATTTTCCATCAGCACCAGAGCGGCAGTAAACAGCTATCACCTGATTCTGACTATCCCCCACTCCCAGCTTGCATATGAAAGTGAAGACACAATTTTCAAAGTGACAGACCTTTCCAAGTCACTAGAGAGGGAGTGCAGACGGCTCTGAAGATTTGACCTTCCCCAGCCCCAGATTGCATGAAAATATAGAATCCCCCACCAAACCGTGACAGAGGGTTTTTTGAGCCACTAAAATGGCAGTGGAGATGCCTGTCGAATACTCATCATTCCTACTGCTAGCTTGCACAAGAATTTGAGGATATCAACGGCGTATTAATAGTATCTCGCCAAGCCACTGAGGAGGCAGTAACGATGGTTCCCGGTGCCGGAACCTAGAGCTGTCAATCCGAGAGTTGGGGAACCTCTCCGAGCGACTGGAGACACGGTGCAGATAGATAGCTAGGCCAGAGCACGAGGCTGCCAATCGAAGAGCGATGAATCCTCTAACCTGTTGGGGAGAAGGAGAGGGTGGTGGCCGTTCCGAAAACATGGAACTGCCGATGGGGGTGTGACAGAACCTTTGGAGGAGAAGGTAAGGGTGGCGTTCGGGGCAACAGCGTGAAGCTGCCGATTCGGAAGTGATGGAATCCCTCCGGAACTAGAAAGAAAGTGACTTCTGCTGCCGCGTGACGCATGACCCCCGCAGTGATGTGTTGTCTTCGAGTGACTGCTCTCTGTGAAGCTCGCCTCCCGGCTGACTTGACATCTTCCCTTACTTAAGCTCCTTCTCGACAGACCACCCAACATTCCTACTCAACAACTTCCAACATCCAGGATGAGGCCTTCGTGCAAGCCATATCCTTTTATGATAAACATGTCTGTCTTCATAGTCCTGTATAGGATCTCGCCAGGCCTTATTAGAGTTGGACAAAGGACATCCAGCTGAACGGTTCTGAAACGCTGCCGACGATCTTCCTCAACAACTCCGGTTTCCAGAATAAAGCTTTCATGTGAGCCAGATTCTTTTATGATGACTATGTCAGTATTTGTGACCCTGTGTAGGAGCTTGTCGAGCCTGCCAGAGCTGGACAAAGGACATCCCGTTGAACGGTACTCAACACGCCCACGGTCTTCCTCAACGATTTTGAACACCCGGGGACTGCCTTCTTTGCACGCTCAACATATTGACTTTAATCATTTTAAAGGACATCCTATTGAACGGCTCTCAACATACCCACGATCTTCCTCGACATTTTCGAACACCCTGCGGTTACCTTCTGAACACGCTCAACGTATCGACATTGATTATACTAGCCTTCGTGATTCTATGTCTGATCTCGTATCGCTTGGTCACCGCTGCGGGAACAGAATTACCTTTGATACTTGTCGTTCTTCTATTTGCAACGACATCAAACCCACAAGAAAAGCAGAAAAATATTATATAGCACTTACAAGGGTCTGGAAGAACATACCACGTATATAGCTGGCTTCGTCTTGTTCCGTCGTCGTGGGAACTACATGCCGAGATCCTTCCCACCTTTTCACGCACATCTATTCTTGTGGCCTTCTTCTCGACATCGACCGTCATCATCCACATCATGAGTTTCCATCCCTCGGAACATGGGTACAGCAGGCCTTGAACCTGGGTCCTCTGCCAAAGCGAGGAGGGCGACGTGAAATGGAATCGTATCAACTCTGATGCGGTTTAGGAAAACACGTCAAAAGGAGAACATCACCCGCGAAACAAAGAAACACGCTCGAGCAACCAAGACTCATGCCTCATTCGACAGTCGCGCTCACGATCAGCATCCCCTACAAATCCACATTCTTTGCTCGACGATCAACAGCGATCCGTACCTGATCTCAGCGGGTTCTACTCATGAGGTCCAAGTCTTCTACGAGCACCAAGTCAGCAAGGGTCTCTCCGGAAAAGAGTGCTGTCATCGATATGCAGGTCCTACATGATGACCTCGGCCCCGATCCATACCTTTTGCGTCGACGCATCATTTCACGTCTGTGCAACAACGCGACGAAGGCACTGCTGATCTGTATGACAGGCTCGCCGTCTGAACACAGGCGCCGCGCGCTGAGATCTCAAGACCAGACATGGAGCTGGACTTGGCTCTGTTGTCATCGAAGTGGAACTTTTTCATATGTACAGGTACACGTCAGCTGGAGTCGTGGTTGAGGAAGATTTCACAGCGAGCGTACCTAAATAAATAAATATATAGCATGTTGCTCCTCCAGACACCATCGTCGCATGTGGCTGGCATCACTTGGCATGGGTAAGTCCGCTCCTAGCCATGTTAGCCAAGAAGGAAACTGATTTCTTCTGTTGATCAAATTTTTCTGAAGCTTCTATTGCGCAGTACATTGGGTGGCAGAAGTTTGTGAAACATGCATGCATTTGGTTTGGTTCATCTAGCTAATCTATCTTCTCAGCAGGACAAGGACCCTCCGGACACGAACGAGCTAGGTCGAACGAGCCATCGAGTACCTCAGAAGGCCGAAGATAACAATGTCGTCGGTCATCTGCAAGAGTGGGAAACATGATTGACCTATGAGGTCGTGCTGGGGGGAAAAATTCGAACTTCGTTCATTTTCGAGTCATGCGCCTATTAGCTCGTGCAATGTCCTCCTTTTCAGTCGAGGATCCGCCAATCTCACTGGCTAGGAAAAGAAGGGTTAAAAAGAAGCAGCATCCACCAGCCACTGCGTCCATTGCCAGCTCTAGCAAATGGAGACGGAGCTCAGTTGCCATAAGGGTCGTTTCCGAAGATGCCATCACCGACGAAGTTACCATCGAAGTGACCCACATTGAAGAGTCCCGCGGCGCCATCGTTTGCGGAGAAGTCAGTGCTGGTATCGTCAAAGGATCCGAGATCAAAATGGCCATTGCTAAAGTATCCCGTGCCGACATCCACTCCAGCTGATGTACCGGCTGGAGTCTGGTTGACCGATGTACCGTTGGATGCTCCCGCTGAGCTATAATTGCTGGGCCACGATGTTTGAATGGCATAGGGAATATTCTGGGAGTGGCTGTGACCATTGGAGAGATGAAGACCGCCAACTCTGTTGCCGAAGGATGCGTTGGAAGATGCACCATAGCCATTGCCGGTCTGGTAAGCAAAAGCATCCGGCTGAACGATGCCATTGGACATTGCGCCATTTCCAAACGAATCGGTATCGACACCTCCGTTGTTGTCGAAGGCTCCAATGAATCCACTATTCATGTCTCCGAAACCGCCAGCGCTCTGTGGGTTGAAGTTGGTGGAGATCTGGTCCAAGGCAAAGTTCCCCCCATCGCTGCTCCCGAACCCTTCGGACTGCTCCATTCCCTGAGTCTGACCCAATCCATCATTCTCGAACATACCAGCGGATGCTTGGAAGACTGAAGGATCGTTGTAGTCGTTGTTGTAGGCATCTACAAAAGCCTGACGACCTTGGTACGAATCTCCGTTGGATGGCATGACCTGTGGCCTACCGTGGTACAAGTTATTGTACATGCCAATGTGATTTGTTGTGCCGGATGCTGGTTCCATTTGAGCTGCAGCAAGATCCTCGAAGCTTTGGTTGTAAGGAGAATTGGAGAATTCGTGATCCATGTCCTGGTTGCTGAAGACACGAGAACCGTCGGCATAATTCTCGACTCTACCGCCTACCACTTCGTCATCGCTCCCCTCATCGATCTCGTCATCGCTCATGTCGCCTGTATCCTCCTTCTTGATGGCTCCTACCGCGCTTGTCTTGTAAGGAGTCGTTGGCAGAGATACTACCAAGCTATTCTTCTTGTAGGGAGTCTTCTTTCCAGTCTCGGGATGGCTGACGTAGTCATCCTCGAGAGCCAGCCAAGGGGCGCCAGCGGCGACAATGTCATCCTTGGTATCATCTTCGACATCGCTGTAGTCGTCAATGGGTTTGCCATTGATGTCAGTTGTTCCGTACGCAGAAAGGTCGCGAGAAGAGGACTTGGAGCTCTGATGCTTGCGCTTGGGAGCTCTGGGAGGAGTATCCTCCTCTTCGTCACTATCCTCCGTTTTCATCTTACGTCGCATCGGACCCTTGGTATCAGACTTGGCACGCTTAGCACGAGGCTTTCCGTATTCCTCGTCCGAGTCTTCGATGTTCCAAGAACCCTCTTCCTCCTCGGATTCATCGGAGCCGGGAGCAGCTTTCTTTCCCGCCATCTTTGGCTTCGCGGGAGTAGACTTGGTTGAGTTTGGAATGGGTTGCGCGTTGCCGTTCTTGGTCGGAGTAGCCTTCGCCTTCGAGCCACTTGAGGCAGAGGTCGAAATTCGGGAACTACCGCCTCCACGTCTCAATGGAGGTGGGACAGAGAGGCCTTGGGTGACCATGCGGATGCGAAGCTTGGCCAAGTGTTGTATCACAGCACCTCCGGTGATCCCTTCTCCCATAATGCTGCCAATCCCGGTCCATGGTACGGCGAGGCCTGCAAGGTTGCATTGGTACTGCATGGCCAAGAGCAGCTTCTTGTCCATCTCATCTGCGATGGTGTCAGCAAGGCGTCATGCAGAACGAGAAATGATGATGAAATGAGAGAGACGGAGCAAAGCGGGAGAGTTGCACAATGTTGGACTAGCAAAGTCTTCGCAGCAATGATGCGCTCTGCTTTGAGAGGGTGTTGAGATGGAGACACATCAAAAGTTTTGTGGCCGCCCAAAGGTCCCAGTGGGAGTTACTGGAGGACACCGAAGAAGAAGTGCATTTCGAACAAGTACCTCATGGATTGAGGGATGAGCTCACTAGGCACAACCCCTTGAATTCAAATGTGTTGGTGCAAGTGTTCGGTTGAGGATGCCAAGGAACCCTTGGCGGGCAAGCGCAAATCAGCAAAACAAAAAGAAAGATCACGTACCATTCCAGCGCACCAGGTGACGCTTCTCAGGTCGTGCAGCATGTTGCCTAGCCATCTTTCTGGTCTTCTTGGTCTTCTTGGTGCTATCGCTGACGATAGTTGCTGGGGAGTTGGTGGCTGAGGTAGCAGGAGTTGATGCTGGGGTATTGTTGGGGGTAGGCGGAACCTTCTTCGGGGTAGCTGGAAGAGTGTCGGAAGTTGCCTGAGGATGCAGCAGAAGTCAGTAGGGGTCGGCCGTTAATGACTATCGAGGGTGCAAACAGCTTGGGGCGAGACACCAGTGCCGTGAAGGCGCTGTTGGTGGTAGCGGATGCTACCAAGCTGCTCACGGCTCGGCAGTTGCATGATGGAGGATGGGTCTGTGTTGTGCAGGATGCGACGATAGTGGGAACGATGCAAGAGCTTCGTTGAAGGTGTGGAAGCGACGCTAACGGTGTAGCAATGCAAATGTGTTCGGGTGGATATGTTGTGGTAGGGTAGGAAGTTTGTGGAAGGGGTAGTAACCAGCGGAAGCTTGACAACAACAGCTTCTGCCCAGCAACTAGCGCCCTTTGAAGACGCCAGCTCCAGCACCAGAGGTCTTCTCCGTTTCTGGTGAGGTTTGGGCTCCCGATGCCGACGCTGGATGTCTACTCCAATACCAGTGGACTTGGGTCATCAATGCCAAAGCTGGACATCTTCTCCAACACCAGTGAAGAATGAGCGCCGGCACTGGACGTCTTCTCCTATACCAGTGATGTTGGGGTCAAGGGCACCTGCTCTGCAGCATCTGGGATCGAATGTTCTGTCATACACGTACCTGGTGAGTATTTCGATTGCTGTGATAGCTGGAGCAGTTGGTGGATATGATGCAATGATGTAGCAAGACTTGGAAGATGTTCCAAAGCAATGGTCTTGCTGAAGGTATGTGTCGTGATGAGGGAGGTGTAGGTCCGAAGATGGAGGGGATTAAATACTCCTCGAGGCCTTCGATCACTTCCTCAAAAGTATCCCAGTGTCAGGTGAAGTGGTTCTCGTCTTCTTGTTGGGCAGGAGTACTTCATCCGTGGGTCTTAGCCCTCGAATTCATTGGTCGAATTCTCACCGACTTCTACGATTTACGGTTCACGGCCCGCTAGATTCACAAAGACGGGCCTTGGCATCGAGGTGACAGCTGGGAAGTGATCGGCAGTGACGGGGATCGAGCTGGGGCAAGGGTGAATGGGCCTCTGTAAACGGGTGCAGGATGAAGAGTAAGCTTTCGAGTTGACGGCTTAGTGTGAAGAGGGTGTCTAATGTGAATAGGGGCCCGCAACATAGTGACATACATCCGCCTACGAAAATTGAGGAGAGAATGTATTTTCTTACTTGGATCTGTCTGTATCGGAATACAGATGTGGGGGGTTGGAGGGCGCTGTCAAATGTCATTGGGAAGTGGGGGGAAGGTAGACCTGGAGGGAAGAGTTTGCTGTTTGTAGGTAGAGGGAGATGCAAAAATGGAGAATTTTCCATTCAGCTATCAGCAGCGGCATCTGAGCTATCCATCTCCCCTTATCTCAAGCAGCGAACGTAACAAAACACACAGCATGGCCTTAGGCCCATCGAACATGTCAAGCAGCAACCCATTCCTCTCGGCCTGACGTGTATCGATGGTATTCAGGCGGTGATCTCCGCGTCGAGCCCCGCCTGAGCCAGGTCCGCAAGCTCAGATCCAACAACAGACCCCTCGCCGACATCACTGGAACCGTTGACAGCATCCTCGTACTTGCGCTTCTTGGAGGTGGGTGTCTCGTATTCATCATCGCTATCGGTTTCCATCTTGACAGGCACGTTCTCTGTTGAAGAGTTAACCAAAAACAAGTGGAGAAGCGATGGGATCTATACCAGCATCATCGACGTTGCCAGCAGCTTTACCCTTCTTCCCTTTGGCTCCAGCAGCAGGCTTGCGGGTCTTCTTTACTCCAGCAGGAGTAGCAGCTGCCTTGCGCGAAGCTTTGACGGGAGTGGTAGTTGTGGCTTTGCCGGGAGTGGTGGGATCAACGTCGGCCTGAGCGATCTTGCGCAGCTTCTTCAAGTGCTCCTGGACAGCGCGGGGAGTGCAGGTGACTTCATCGGTAGTCAACTGGAGAGATGTTAGGCCCGAGATCTTGAGATGGTGAATTTGATTGGGTACTTGCCTGTTGGGCGACGGCTTCAAAGTCGGGCTTCACATCGGAGACCTTGAGAATGGCAAGGAGGAGTTTGGCGTCGGCCTCGCCTGTGAGAGTGGGTGGTTAGCGTCATAGTGAACGAAAAGTTGAGAGGCTGAGGCAGGTTCAGTGATATAGGGTGCGGGTATGGCCAGGTGCTGAGGAGGCTGGACGCTGAAGCTCCATGTACTTGTTCGGAGGCAGTGAGAGGTAGAGAAGCTCACTCACCGTTCCAGGTCATCGTCTGCTTTCCAGACATTGTGCTGGGTAGATGAGTTGGTGTTTTTGTGATGTTGTTCTTGAGAGCGGGATCGGGCTCGAAGCTGGATACTAGAGGTTGGTAAGTCTCTGTGAACTCAGGATTTTCTTTGACGATTCGCTGAATAGTTCGAAAGTGGAACTGCTCGATAGGATTGTTCGAAAAGCTACCGTTAAGGGAGGGGTGAAGTGTGAGAGGGCCAAGCGGAGGAGGGGAAGTGAAATCTCGATGTGAGGAGAGGAAGCTGGGAGGCATGTGTTGATGCTTGAGGGAACAAGATGAGAGCAGGTGTTAGTAACTGGCTGGCTCGAGGTCAAACAGACTTACGCGATATCGGTGGACTGCAAGCAAGGATTTGGTGATTTCTGTGGGTGTCAAAAGCAAACTTTTTGGATGAGAGCAAATGTTCATCATGGAAATCTGAGCTTCAGTGAATGAACAAGGCTCAGTAGTGAGAGGTGAATGCGCCTATTGGCTAGCTAAACTCTAAGGCTGACTTCCCTTCACTGGCACCTATTTACTTCACTTGCACGCATATCAGTCCACCGTTTTCACAGCAATGTACAGAAGAATTCCCAATCCGGCCCAATCCTGTAGGAGAAAAGGGACAGCACTGTAGACTTTTGTGTAGGACATAGACGCGTTTACCGCCGGCAGCTAATAAACGAGAAATTTCAGAAAATATGAATGATGCTCCTGCTTCCTCCCATCCCTAAACTACCTGAATGTTCAAAGCCATCTGTATGCAGGACAAGGAGCTTCGCATTCGGCTTTATAAGCACAGCCGCTCTTGAATAGGACGAGGCTTAGAGGCCGTGGCCAGCCACTGCATGGAAGGCTGGGGAGCTTGGCGACGCGATCGGAATGGTTGAATTTCCAGGAAAGAAGACTACACCAGTCGATGCGAGTAAGCTGAGTAGCCGTTTTGTACTGGAAGCAGAGGCCATTTCCTGCCAATGAGAAGGCGGAGTCTTCTGGGGGAAAGCCATGAAGGCAGACCTGTTAGCTGTTAGTATGTCTTTCTATTATGCTTTACCTACATAAGTCGTCGAGAAGACGCAGCTAACAGAGGCAAGCTCTCCGCCAATCATGATAGATAGAGCCTGTGCAGCCTCCTGGGTGGCCTTGTATCCACAGTCATGTTGGCATTTGTATTCACCGTCTGGCTTGCATTCAATGTCTGACCGCTAGCTGGGTTTTCATTCATTGTCTGGTTCGCTTTCGCCGATTGGGCTTACATGCACTGTCTGGCTCTATTTCATCTGTCGGAACTGACTTTCCTTCACCAACTGGGTTTGCATTCACCCTTTGGCTCTTATTCATCCCTTGAAGCTGTATTTGCCGCTTGGCTTGCGTTCGTCTTCTGGCATACATTGATCCAGACTACCCAATTCACCCTTGGGATCTGGGGCTGGGTTTTCTTTTGCAAAAGAGAAGAGAATTCAATTACTTAGGAAGCTGCTTGTAGATTGGGAAAGGGTCTGCGCATAAGATGGATACAAAGGCGGTCCTGTGAGACAGAGACTTCGCTCTGCCTGTGTGTGCATTTGCATTGTCTCTTATTGCTCTTATAGTAAAGGAATTGGACGGTGAGATGGGATCTCATGATCTTCATTGCGTTTGTCTGCTACATGCCTTGGCATTTGCCCTAGCGGCCACACGTTTACCACCATTAAAAAGACCGATCTTCAGCTGCTTGGCAGCACAAAGACGAAGGAATATCGTAGGACGCTCTAGCAAAGGAACGTTGTGAGGATGGAAGCATGGCGTCCGCATAGCCGGCCTGCTGTGGGTACCACTCTCAGTCCGTGATGACGATGCTCTCGTGCAACCCCTGTCCGTCGCCGTTCCCAGTGGCTGGAGTCATGCTCATCGAAGCAAATCTTTGGTCAGCGAATCCACCATGGAACGCAGCCTGAGATCCATGGTCATGACTGCTAGACCCACCGAAAGCGAGAAAGTCGTCGAACATAGCACTATCATGGGCACCATCAAAGCCCGTACCACCACTAGAAGGATACTGAAAGGCGCCAGTGGGGGCTGTAGATTCCGGAGTACCTTCTTGACCCATGGGCTCCTCCTTGATAGGCTCGGCTTTGATAGATTCAGCTTTGACCGTGATGCTGGATTCGGCTTTGACATTGCCAAGGCCTTCGTCGTCGTCGGTGTTGAAGTTGGAGTTGGTCTCAGCATACTGGTCTAGTTTGCGCTTCTTGCTGCAGCTGCCGGCGGAAGGAGAGGTTTTGCGACGAGGAGAGGGAATGGGAGTGTCGCGGATGCCGGAGGCGGTGGTGCCACCGCTCTGGCTCTGATGGATGCCGTTGGCCTTCATCATGCGTTCGTAACGCTTAGCCCTAGGGACATGGTCAGCTGAAGGTTGCGTGTGGTAGAATGAGAGCTTGGGTAAAGGAGTCTGAGATTCCTCTTGAAAATGTGGAGAGGAGCTTGAACCGAGCAAGAGAAAAGAGCTGTGCCTGTGAAGAGACTTACGCGGCGCCTTTACTGACGATGTTGCACTCCTTAGCGACCTCGGTGAAATCGACCTGATGGCAGTCAGCGTCGCAGAAGTAAGTGAGGAGTGTAGGTAGGAGCTTACCTTCCCATTGTTGCTGTAGCGGATACAGCTTATTAGGAATTTGAACTGCTCCTCGTTGCTGGCGGGAGCCATCTCGATAAAGCGGATAAAGCGGACGACAACTGAGGAAAGCGGTATGTCTTTTGTGGTAGGGACGTCTCTATGTTCGTCTGTGTTTTGGTCCGGATCTTGGTTTGGGTCTTTGTCCCGGTCTTGGTGTGGGTCTTGGCCTTTGAATTGGTCTTGGTCCGGATCTGGATCTGGATCTGGATCTGAATCTGAATCTGGCTCTGGTTCTTGGTCCTCTGGATCTTCGTCTGGTAGGCCAAATGGATACTGGTCTTGGTAAGGCGAACGTTTGACTCGATACTTTGGTTGATATTCAACGCAGCAGGTACAGCGGCAGCAATCTTGAGAGGTCAGAAGATGAAGATGTCTTTAGGATACTGAGACTTACTTTCAATATCGCCGGGCGCGTCCAAGTATTTGTGCGCGAGTGAGTACTTGAATTTGCTAGGCTGGTAATGCTGTCAGTACAGGCCGTGCAGCAGACGTGGGTGAAAGAGCCCGTTGTGGTCTGCGGGGCAAGATTGTGAAGAACAAGAGGAGAAGAAAGGATCGGATACGTACGTCGCGGTGAGAGATCACAAACCTGCCATGCTTTGAAGCCATAGCAAAAGAAACGGGTGCAGCTATGCGAGGCTTTCAGGAAAACGAAGAGCTAATGGTTGCGTGCAGGGTGTTGTTTGCTCGGCTACAGCAAGTTCAAAATTTTGGAGGATTTAGCCTTGGCAGCCTTGTTTATTGCGGTAGGCGCTCTTTTCACGCCACGCAATGCTAATTCTGCGTTCTGACAAGAGGATGGGATAGGTTTTTACTCGGGTACTTTACAGATAAGTGGACTAGTTGCTCCTCTTACATGGAATGGCACTGGAGAACGCCTAAGCCGGTAGTCTCGGTTCGCTGTTTGCAAGAGAAACACAGTGATAGGATGTCTACTCTCATTGGTAGTAGCTGCTGTAAAGATCGTCACAGAGGCTCATAGATAGCCAGGGTAGCAAGGCTTCGATTCTGGAGACTACAGCAAGCTATGTCTCGTCTTCACAAGAGAATATACACTGTAGTCCATCCACGCATCGCACAACGACGACAACCATACTCCAAGGACCACCACCACTAAGGCAAGCAGGCATCTTTCAAAGAAGTCGATCCTAAGCTATCCGAGCCATGCTATGGAGACCTCTGTGTGCGTTGAAGACGTCAGGCAGCCTCCTCTTTGCCTTACTGCTCAATCAAGGTTTCGGCTTCGCTTGCTGAACAACCATCAGTATGGGCTAATGATAGCTGCAAGGGAGGAGGGAGGTACTTACAACGGCCCTCGGGATTGACGTTAGCAGCAGCAGCCTCATTCTTAGCGTTGAGCTGGTCGACCAGGCCTCCAGAGCTCTTGGCCTTCTTAGTAGAACGACGGGCTATACAGCAGGTCAGCTGTGGCACGTATCTCAAGCTCGTGAGGAGATTTTACCTTTGGCAGGGGTGCTGTCAGCTTGAGGAGTGCCAGCAGCCTTGCGTTTCTTGCTAGCCTTAGTGGGAGTTGCAGTAAGAGCAGTAGAACCCTCGCCGGCATTGTCGTCGTCTCCGTCAGCGGCAGGAGCGGCGGGAGCAGTGGCGAGCTTCTTGGCCAGACGGCCCCACATGACCTTCGCGTTCCTAGAGTCCTGATAGCCCGAGTCAAGAGCTGCTTGGTCCCAGTTAACCTGTATAGTATCGCGGTCAGAGAAGGAGAATGAGTGTGAGGATGAGCTCGAGAGCCATGACGATGAGATTGCAACATGAGGTGAGGGGATGAGTACTTACGAAGGCGGTGATGCTGCCTTCGAAGTTCTTGACCATGGCGGCCATGAGCTGAAGCTCCTTTTCGCTGAATTGAGACATGAGTGGATTGGATGTTTGTTGCTGGTAAGTGTCTGGGTCTCAGAAGGTGGATCAGCAGTGCTCGAAGTCAGTGATCATGACAATCTGAGGGACGATGGTACTGACACTGTACGGTAGGATGATGATATTGAATGAAGTAGCAGATGAGGAATCAGTGTATGAGTATCTAGTGCACGATGTTGCTTGTTGTTGTTGATGATCGGTGAGGGTTTCCGAGGAAGAAAGGAAGGGTGAAAGTTTGAAGTGAGAGTTCGCTGTGAAGTATTTTTATGTACCCACTAACGGGACGGGACTATCTACTTCCGGCCGGCCTTTTCAACCCCTGTCTCATGGCATATAAAAAGTCTACGAGCAGGTATCATGCCTGTCCTGAAGACTTCGTCCTCATGGTGCCTGCTGTCTACAGCTGTCCAACACACCGAGCCTAGCGCCCAGTAAGAATAGGTAGCACTATAGCCAAATCCTTCTTGCCAACATCTTCCTTGCTGCCATTCCAGAACCCGAAAACATGCATCCGTTTGTTTTGTTCATCGTGCGAGTTGGACTTTTACCCTGTCCAATCTCTTATGACCACTCTTGCACCTTCTACCTCTTCTCAAGTACCAGCATCCCATAAGTGCTCTTCCATGTCTAATACAGCCTCCGTTGCTCGATGATCGTTATATAAGAGTAAATCGATGTCGTCTGGCGGTGGAAGAGGGTGGCATGCTGAGGGGAGTCCTGTCTAGGAGGCGAGCCTGCTAGCTGAGGAGGCACTGCTTGAGTCTATGTTAGCTGCGGCTATTCTTGATGCTGTGTGAGCCAATAGCGGGTAGATTACCGATGCTCATGTTGCCTGCGAGGGTGGATTGACCTCGAGTAAGGACAACGGGGGCTACGTTGTCTGAGGTGGGAGGGGTGCAGACGTGGTATATAGGTTGACTGTACGTGCTGCGTTTCTCGCTGCTCGTTCACCAGCACAACGTGAGTTCATCCACTCCCGATGGGATAGCCAAAGACAGGTGAGAGCGTTAAAGGTGTAGTTTTTAGACCGACGATGGAAGTGGCGTTAGCTCGTGCAAAGTGCGCACTATGCAGGAGTGTATCGAGACAAGATGCGTGTAAAGCGCAATGCTATTTATTCCGTCGGAATCTGGAATCTCTGTATGGTCTTGGTATCCCAGCATGCCGAAAGCGAAATTTTGGCTCTCTAGATGCGCGCATGAGTTTCTGGCCCGTGAAAGGTACTCTTTTTGTCAGGAAATCGTTGCTGAGCTGATGAGCGCCGAGTTCGTGGATCTATACTCTCAACTACAGCGGAGCGATGAGGAGACGATGGCGTTAAGGAGTGTTGGCTTCAGCATGTGGAGCTAGTATTGTCTTTCGCGTAGCTTGCTGTATCGTCGAGCTGGAGCGCAGAGGCCCAAGTTGGTATCTTCTCTTCCATTTTGTCGGATATTCAAAATGAAAGGCACACGCTGCCCTAGTGCTAGCGGCTTATTCTCTCGCATTGTTCACAAGCGTGTAGAGATACTTCAGGTTTTGGTAGTCGCCGCGCGAGTATTGCTGCCAACATTGTAATACCAGACCGGACTATGGTCCATGGTTCGTCTGTTGATTTTTCCAGTGCCGTAGTGCTTTAGACTGTGGTACCGACTGTGCTGGTTGCTGGGGGATTGTTGTACATGAGGTAGGATTGGTCTTATACTGAAGGTCTTGAGTCTCTGCAAAACAGAAGGGACCTTAGGTGCTGTTGAGGTTGGTTGCTGATCCCAAGAGTGCATTTGGAAAAAAGTCTTTTGTGTATCTGACCGCCAGCTTTTCTAGGAAAATATCGCTGATTTCGATCCCTGCCTGAAAGAGTTGGGCTGATGAGTGCGCATTCGTAAATCTCGAGTCACAACCTTTGAAATTTGACAAGAACAGTGTCTAAATATGGGGGAGCGAGGTCAATCAAGTCCTCTCGTGTAGCTGGCTGTAGTGACGAGGCCCGATAACATAGGAAACATCCTGAAAGAAACGTTTTTGTATCCGATCACTACCCTGGGAATATTGTTGGCCACCTGACGACGATGGCAAGAGGAAGCGATCACGACTGAAACTTTAGGATTGTGTGCAGCATGACGACGCCAACCCATGCGAGCTCGGTTGAGATCTCCGTTTTGGAAAGGTATAGTTGTGTATCTAGTCATCAGTCTAGGGAGTCTGTTGGCCTCCAAATGCGGAGCTTCTTGCGCAGCCTATGACAGAGCGACGAGTACGCTTATCAACTTGTATGGAGGAAACGTAGTTGTCAAGTGGCCATGTGTTGCTTTTTTTTTTTTTTTGAGGGTTGGGGGATGTTGATGATGTAGGATGGAGGAGTGTTTTCACGAGATTGATTTGACATATTCTTGTCGAGGCAGGGCTCGCCAATGTTCCCTTGGGAAACGAGGTCATCAGCAGCAGCAAGGTCACCCCTGGTCAGTTGAGAACCCACAGGACCAGTTTTGGCATGCTTTTGCTCTTGAAGGTTGCGGTTGTTGATGATGTAAGATGGACGGGTTGAACTTGTTTTGGTTGTTAGCCCTCTCGGCACTGTTCGTGTCGGGGCTGAGGTTGCCAATTCTGTTGGGAAACGAGGTCATCAGCAGCAACGAGGGCATCGCTGGTCGGTTGAGAACTGGAGGACCGATTTTGACATGCTAGACTCTGGACCATAGTGGCCGGAAGCATCAAGGAATCCTTTAGCTATGAACATCTGTCTATGGTTGAGACGAGAGATGGCGAGTGGTATTTTTGACCCGGTACTGAGGCTAGAACCTCAAATCGAGTCAGCAATAGGATGAAAACAGGCCAGAAGAGTGCCTTACTTGATGATAAAACTGCTTTGCGTGTGGCATACAGAAGACGCAAGTGGCCAGACTTCTTGATCAAGGTTGGAGACAGAGAGGTGGAGAACTCTACCAACTCTGGTGTATGTGCTGAGCCGTTGTTGGCGGATTTTTCTGAATGCCTGTGTCAGATCTTGGGCTTCTGCCGCAGCATCGTTAATGTCCGTAGGTCAAGATGCTGTCTGGTGTACAGAGGCAAGGATGCTCTGGGTGAGTAAAACCCTTTGGATTCGAGCAGGATCAGGAAATCCGGAAAATGGATAAGGCAATACGCCCAAACATTGTCCGTGTAAGGTGGTAGGACACTCAACGGTTGACACAGATAAGGTTCGGATAGCGTTTTAAGAAATGACCGAAAGTCTTGACTGCTTTTCGCGTTTCTGACCCGAATGAAGGGCACTCAAGGTGGTAGAATTTTGTGTTCGAAAGCGGGTAACTACCAGTGTACACAGCCAGGTGAAGGGTGAAAATCAATATAGAACTTAGAGGTGATGATGGATGAGTATGTATCTATAAGAGCCACTGTGTTGGCATGGATGAGACCCAAGTAATCGAAGTGAAAAAGCGGACATGCACCGTCAAGGAGATGTGGCACAAGACGAAGGGGCTTGTAGAGGTATATCCTGTAATGGAAGGACCCTCCCTTGATGATTATTGATGAAGGACGATGTCCCAGAGTGGGTGTGGTTGTGTAGGGAGAAGGTTAGTTCTGGTGGGAGATGCAGGCTTAAGTACCGGCCAAAGCCCGCGCTAAGGGCATTCATTTCCCGGTGCCAGCTTCATTGGGACTTGCGTGAAGGATCAAGACGAATATGTCCCCGGTGAATACTCAACCTTTAGGAATAGAATTAAAGATAGGTGCTAGGCAGACTTCAGACGGTCTCAGAATCACAGTTAAGCTTCATATTTCGGCACTTTGGGTTCAGAGAGAGCCATCCACAGTAGCACTTGCATACACTGCAGGTAGAGACCCTAAATGAAATTCTATCTGGAGATGATGAACGGACAGACTGCTTGTGGCCTTTCTATCGTGCATGGGCCTGGAATCCTGTCACTTTGGGCTGGAGAAGGGTGCTTACAGGACCATCCACATGGGCAAGGCTTCTAGAAGCCGCCATCTAGAACTGGTAGATACCATGGGCTGCTGTGTGTTTGTTGGGGGGGGGGGCTCGAGCCATTTCTGCATGCTGGTAATGGTAAATCCTAACTTACATAGCATCCCGTTCTCTCTACATCGTCAACAGTCATAGTTTCTTTATCAGAGACTATGCATAGTCAGGTAAGCAGCCAGTGAAAAACACTGCGTATATCACATGCTTTAAGAAATTGACAAGTTCGGTATCTCGTTATCTGATGGCCATTGTAGAAATTTTGGTCCACATTCTTTGAAACGTCTTGCTTTTGTTTGAATGCTCTCAGACGGGCAGTCAAGGAAACAGATAGAATGTGCCATATTCTCCCTAAAAATAGGGGGAACCAAGTATTCCTTGTATGGTAACATTTGCAAAGACTGTGGTACATGGGTCATATATTGTCTTGCTTTGAATGCATTCCATATTGTTCTGTCTGTCGGAAAGGAAAGTACTGTCTACTTGAGACCACTTCATTCTTGATCAAAGGAAAAACGATATTATAGCAGCAACTAAGGGAAGACTGTCCCAAACAAAAGGTTCTCCTGGAAGGACACTCAGAGAGAGCTATCAATGGAAAGGACTTGGATCTAAGGACATTAATCTTGGGGATGATTACTTCCTTGGAGAAAGGACAACTTGTTGTGGCGCTTAAAGTAGACATGAGAAGTCAGACGTGATGAATAAACGCTTCATTGAGTAGGATCAACAGATACAGAAGCAGCTCATTGCATGGTATGATAGGAAGGCATGTTAGAGGCACGAGTGAACCTCTGGACAGCTCAGTAAAATGTGGCACGCTATGCTAGCGTTCCCGGCGCACATAAGCAGCCATTGCAGCACGACAATTCCATCCTTCAGGGATTGCTCCTAAACACGATAACCATGCATAGACACATCTGTCCGTCCGTATGTGTGTCTCAACGATGGAAAGTTGGTGCTTCCACATGTTGTCGATGATGCCAGCCAAATGCCATGCTCTTAAACCATTCCATCAAGGTAGAATCCTCCGAAGAACAAAGAATAGCAAGTGTGTTTCTGAGGCATGGTGTCGAAAAGCTTGAGCAAAGACGGACACTCATTGACGAGAGCTGGATGTCCCGGACGATGGCCAGTATGGATGAGAGTAAATCCTGAAAGGGGGTTAGTATCTGGAACAGGGGAATGATGCCGCAGTGCTTACTCGGCCCAATCCATATCGTTCTTGACCTCGTTGCCAGGCTTGATCCCCATCTTCTTCGTTGCTTCCATACTTACGAGGTCAGTATAGGCCGTTCGGAGGCTGCGCAGTAAGGCCCTTACAGTTTTGGATCCAGCTCGCCTTCTTTGTTATTGCTGTCGATGTTCATCTCATCGACTCCTTGCCCTTTGGTGTCGCTCATTTGCTGATTGCTTGCCCCTTCTTGGTCAGACTGGGCACTTTGATTCATCTTGTGATCTTCCGCGCAGTGTCTCTTGGCACCGAGTAAACCCGCTTCATGAGCTCCTCCGCCCTCTGTATCTTCCGCGTTTCTCTTTCTCTTTGTCAGCTTAGAAAGGCTTGCTTTATGCTCTTCCTCAAGAGATGCGCTGTGTGAATCAATGACCCTATCTTCCGATCGGGTGCTGGAAGACATGGCGGTGCGTGTGTTGGTGAACAGGGAGGGGTGTTGTAGAAGTCTTTTCTCGTCGAAGAGATTTATCGTCCTTATGGAAGTTGACTCGATTTTGTCGGATGTGCAGGTATGTGCAGTCAGCGTCTGTGCAGTTCTGAAGGTTTGGGAAGTCAAGTGGTAGGTGCAGTTTTGAAGGTTTGGGAAGTCAAGTGGTAGCCGTTCAGGAGTGCTTCGGGATTGTCTATTAGGGTTGCTTGCCCTTTCATATATCTCAAACAACGGTAGGAGTCTAGAATAGTTTGTGTGAAGAGGCGATTTGGTCTGGAAAGTAACAGCGTTGTTGTGGGAGAACTTGAAGCTAGTGAAGGATCCGCACTAGTCCATTTTTGTTTCCATCACAATTAGTCCATTACACTGTGCTACTCTATCTAATTGACAAGGCTACTAAAGCCAGATCAGTTCTCCCAAAGAGGCTCTATCTTGACAACTGGCTCTGGCTTTACTGCAACAAGCTCTGGCGAAATCTGGGGTGTTTCCACTGGAGAGTACTGCAGCAGATCGCCATGGTTCACAAAAGCTGCTGACTCCAGGGACACCTGTTGCATCGCGTCAGCATCTGCACTACCATCCGGCGACCACGTCCCATCCTCCTCTCCACCGAGCTCCGCCTTGATCTCCGGCTCCGGCTTGACAAAATGCTCCGCCTTGACAGTCTGCTCAACGCCTGACATCGCATCCATATTTTCCTCTTTATCCGCCTTGAAGACTGTCCCTTGATGCTCTTCTGTCTGTGTCTTGTTCTTGTCAGATTTGTCGGGCTTCGATGTCCTCTGACGGGGAACGGCGGCTCTGGCCTTGCGTGGGGCAGGTGCGACACCCTCCATCTGCTGCTTGAAGCGAGAGTAGCGCATGCGGGCGGCGTGACCGTTGGTGATGTCTAGCTGATCAGCAACCTGCTGCCAGTCGATCTATGAAGCTGAGTAAGTATATTAATTATGGCATTATTCAGAAGAACGGCTTACCGATTTGAGGTCTAGCTGTTTCATGATGACATAGAGGAATTTAGAGATGGCGCCATCAGTTGGCATGGTGCGGTTCCTCCTAAGGCTTGCCATACTGGATTCTGATCTTGAAGAGTGTTCGAGAAGACGAAGAAGGATGGGTGTGAAGATGTGGTGAGTAATCTTATCTTGCTGGATTGGGGCTCAATAACGAGTGCACAGCGCGTGGTATGATCGTGGTAGGGGAGTCTGTTGGAGGATATTGATGGGAGTGAAGTTGAGTGATGGGACCTAGAAATAGGTGAGCCTGTGGAACGCTAACGTGGGCACGCACGCACCAGTAAATGAAAGCTTTTCTGTCGCGCAAAGCGACATCAAAGACGTGGAAGCCTGAAGCTTTGTTCGTCGGCTTCCTACATCAAGCGTAGGTTCTCTGCAGAGACTCTAGAACGAATAAAAGCAAACACGACAAAGTTATTGCCGTCGCTTCTTCGCTCTCAGTGTAGCTGACAGCGCCTTCTAGATATGCATCGGGATCGATGGTGGAGGAAATTGCGCATGGGCATGTTTCGAGAACGATTGATCCGTCCGCGAGGCTTGCAGTATCTCTGGTGCGATGCCACAAAGCGAAAAGAAAGACTGGAGCCACAGGTCAGAAGCAGTACAAAGCTCGTATAGCTCGATGATCATCTGGGATGATTTAGAAGCCTCGAGATCAATGACGGCAAGGATCTCCGCCCATATATTTCATACATTGACATCTGACCAATGCTACAGCCTGGTAAACATTGGAGAGCACCGAAAACCTCTGCGTATCTATGCAATTACTCACTCACAGAAGTTGCAGGAAGAGCCGAGTCAAGGTTGTTATCGATTACAGATTCACTTCCTGGGTGATCGACAGCTAACATAAAACCCTCGATCACCATCCACCTCATCTTACTCTGATCACCCTCTACCTTTAACTCACTCACCTCCCAACAATCTCAAGAATACGCCCGTCACCGACCTCGTGCTCCAAAACACATCTTCTCCTCACATCTAAGCTCATTCAAACTCCTTTCTTACCACCACCACCATTCGATTCGTTATGCCTTGGGACGATGCTCGCGAAAAGCGGCTGTTGATCGAGGTGATTACGATCACCAATCCAGCCGTTACTCGCTCTACCTGGGACACCATTGCAGCAGTCATGGGAGACGGTTTAACAGGCGAGGCTTGTCGGTAGGTTCTACGATTCTTACATCTCTTTCTCCAGCTGTGCCGCCGTCTCTACTGTGCCATGACGGTCAAAGTATCACCTCAGACGCTCGACTCGGCACCCGAGCTCTGCCTCCAGATACCGCCTTACTCACTTCAATCTCCTCCATCCACTAACGTCCCACTCAGCCAGAAATTCCAATCCATCAAACGCACCGTCAAACCCACCAACGGCACTACCACCCCCGACGGCACCACCGCCCCCAAAGCCGCCAAGGCCACCAAGCCGAAACCCTCAACCTCCTCCGGCACCGCGACCAAAACCCGCAAGCGCAAGGCCAACGTCAACGAAGACGACGACGACGACGACGAAGGAGCGAGCCTCTTCACGCCAATGGCGCAGAAGAAGATGAAGTTGGAAAAGAAGATCGACCGCGAAGCCGAGGTGGACGGCATCGGCGCCGAAATTTTCAAAGCTGAAGCAGGGGGAGAGGGCATTGATCTGGAGTGTGATGAGTATGTCCTCTTGACCCGTCTCTCGATCTTGCTACGCTAACACTCTACAGTTCTCTACGACGCCGCTGCTTGAGTGGAGGTCCGATCGACGATGGCCGGCGTTGGGCTACAGGTGGGCTTTGTGGAAACCTGGAAGCGCCTTAAAGCTGGCATGATCTCGATCGGTGCACTCCTTGACGGTTTTCGCGTTGGCTCAGCGAGGGACGAGGATCAGGAGTGTGGAGGAAGTGGTAGAGCGAAGAGCGGCCTGGGCATGTCTTTCGTTGGCAACGCTCGCACGCTTGAGGTTGTGATAGGCATTTCTCGGATAGCGTTGGTTGGATAGCACGCAATCAGACCAGCTTCTGGGTTTTGCAAAAATGCGAATCGTGTTATGCTTTTGTGACCTTTTGATCTGTGTTATCTGTAAGCGCTCGACGGAATATCTCATCTCGATGTTCTGGACAATCGATCCAAGCCTTCGCGATTGCACAATCATCATTATCGCCTGCGCTATCTCAGGAGCCATCAACCAGAACACATATCCATCTCAAGATCCATAAGCTCAGACACCACCCTCCGCAGTCCCAATCCACCAGCTCAGAAAGACAGCATCCAACGCTGCGAAAGCGCATCACGTCCGAGACTAAAAAGCTTCGATATCCATGCCACCGTCAACAAAGTCACCATCGTAGTAGAGGCTGGACTCGCCACCGTCAACGCTACCCTGTGCTGCGCGACCGCCACGATCACTGTATCCGCCTTGGACATTGGCCGCGAAGTCCTCATCGTCCTCGGTGCTGGGCACTTCCAAGAAACTACTCGAGCTACGATGGACCGTGAGCAGATTCTCGAAATTATAAGACGATTTGGATGAAACCATACCCGCTCTGCGGCTCCTCCTTGATCCCCTTGCCGCGCTTCTTGGTGGGAGTCCCATTGCTCTTCCCCACGCGGCCGCCGACGGTCTTCCCCTTTGAGGGAGTGCCGACGGTAGACTTGGGCTTCTTTGGCGTGACGGTGGCGGAGACGGTGCCGCGGGCGGGAGCTTCGGGACGCTCGCCGGAGTCAACTTCTGCTTTCAAGGCCACTGCTTCCTTCTTGATGATTCGGAAGCGGCCTTCGATTGAGTCGTAGGTGGCGCCTGTGGGGTATCAGCATAGGCAACGGAGAAGCAGGAGATGGGAGGTGGTAGATTTGAAAAAGGGTGGAGGATGCTTGAATCGTTGCCACATACCGTTGCCGTACATGGACGCGATCTTGCGGTAGTCGAGCTGGAAATTGAAAGTCAGCATTGTTTCTTGAAAGACTTGAGGTGTTAGTGTGAAGAGAGCGACGCTGCATTGACAGAGACATAGGGTGAAAAGGCCGAGAAGATGGAGATTGTAGAGGATTGTAAGCAATGATCAAGAGACTCTAGTCATAACTTGCAAACCACTTGATATGGCATGAAGTAAAGCTGTGAGCATACCTTCATATCCTGCGCAGCCACCATTGCCGCCAGGAGGCGGGTGAATGCTTCCGGGTCTTTCCAGTTGACAGGCATACTGAGAGAGTTGGCGTGGAGATTATTGGTTTGTGGAAGTTTGTGAGTGTCGGTTGGAGTTGGGGTTGAGGTTGTGTCCGAGGAGCAGAAGCTGTGAAGGTCTGTGCGGAAGTGAGTTGTCCGAGCTTCAAATTCAGAGTGCAATTTGAATATTGTGAGGTGTTCGAGTTAGTCAATGGAAGTAGGGATCGAATGGTTTGGACCAGAAAAGAAAGCTTAGACTTACAGTAACGAAGTGTGGTGAGAGGAAGCGTTGTGGTGGGACGGAGTGGAGGTGATGTGAGTCCGAAGAAGCAGCTTGGATTCAACAGCTCAAACACATGTATGTGATCCTCGGAAGCCAAATCTTATATCCGAAGCGCAATCTTTTGGTGAAGCAAAGCCTGGAAGGATGCAGACAGGCACAATCTTCCACAGAATCTGCTTCAAGGACACAATGAACAAAGCATACAACAACCAACCTCAAGAACCTAGAGCAAGTATTTGTATCCACTCCTAGACCCTTCGCGAGCTTGCAGAAAGGCCCCTCGAACTGCCTCTCTCAAGGCTCCGGCAGCACACGAATTTCCCCGTCGCTCTCAAGCCAGCACAGCTCCCCACGCTATGACTCACACCTAGCCCCCCTTGCAATCTTCCCCTGCGTTTCAGTACATTAAATAAGATACAGCGCATTGTCTCCAAGAGCAATATGATGCGTCACATTGCTCGAAGCTGTCGGAAGTTCTGTTTGGCTCGACGAGCGAGACGCTACTGCAGGTGCCATGCTTCTTTGGAAAGCAAAAATCCGCCGAGTGCTAGCCTGCGAAACAGTCTGGAATGCACAAGGCCAAACGGGGTTTGAAGCAATAGTGGTAAGTACGGGCGATAGGAGCCAGGGGAGGTGGTGACTAGTGGTACCTAGTCTGAGAGCATGAGGATTTGAGCGTGCTATACCGGAGAAGGAAAGACAATCACGAAGGTGAACGAGAAGCGCGGGGTCTTTTGCACGAAGCAGACTGCCAGCTAACAAGCACAATCTATTTCAGGTTTTTCGAGTCCATGGTCAATGTCCAGTGCCAGGTCTGTCGCTCTGCATATTTAGCTCAACGGGGAAGCAGGGATTCCCGAACGCGTGAAACCGCGTAGTCGCGACAGCTGCAGCTGCGAGCACTCTACGCGATAATCCTTGCAAAAACGATAAAGGGGTTTTTGTATTGGGATATGATGGTAGGGCAATGTTATCCTGGTAGTCATCGATGCAGGAAATTGGCGAAAGAGCAGGGTAAGACGAGTGGGGTCTGTGCATCAAGATCGCGAAATTCGGGATTGCTATGGAAATCCATCACCAACGCTATGCTACGCAGCGCTACAAGCGATGGTCTGCCACAATGTCCAAGGCTTCATCTGACCGAGGCGGGGCCACTGCTCTGCGAGAACCCTTGCTGAAATGCATGTCCAGGATGTGCCAGCTCGTAGCTGTCACAATCGCCTAAACGGCCTCCTCCAACTTGACAGCAGCATCCTTCCCAGTCTCTTTGAAAGAGCCATCGGTAGCATAAGTGTCTTCACTCTCGGTGCCACTGGGTTCGCCGAAGACATTGTTGCCGTTTTCGTCTTTGGCATTGTCCATGGTGGCGAAGGGGTCATCAAGCTTCTTGTAGTCTGTTTTCTTGCCCTTGCGAGGAGAGATACGCTTGCTGACACGGCCATTTACGGTCTTCTGACGTTTGACGGAAGGGATAGGAGTAGTGGGAATCTTCTCATCGTCAGTCTCGGCGGCGGTCTCCTCTTCCTCGCTGTTCATGGCAATGTCCGGGTCATCGCTGAAAGGGTCAGTACAAGATCTGGTGACGCAGGAACATGCAGCACACCTCGGGGCATCGCTCAGCATCCCTCCACGCTTACGGCCCATTCCCTTTAACATGTTCTTCGTGGCAGCAGGAACAGCGCGCTTGGCGGCTCTATTGATTTTGGTGGGAGTGGAGAAAGAGCCAGAGCCGGGGCTGAGACCCAAAGCCACGCCTTCTTTACGAACGACGTTGAGGCGGTATGAAATGGCGTTAGCTGGGACATCGGGACCTATATAGCAAATTCCATCAGCCGTTCCTATAGTCTTGGTCTTGTGGATATTGAGGCCAAGTGCAGTAGCGATGTGATAATAGATCACAATAGTTGCTTTTGAGCTCGTGACAATCAAGAAAGACTCACCAAAGACTGCAGCGATCTTCTTGTAGTCGGGTGTTCCAGGGATGAGAGCTAGGACTGCAGCGAAGAGCTTGGCATTATTCTCGGGCTTCTTCCAGTCGACTGCTGGTAGTCCCTGAACCATCTTGACGAGCTGCCCGAATATGTCAGTAAATTGAACGTTATTTCTCAAATAGGAGAAAGCGTGATTAGAGAGATCGTCTCCCTTAAGAAAAGTGCAGAGGTTGCGCAAAAGATTGAAAGAGTGATAATGTGAAGTGGGAAGAAGACCCATTGAAGTGAGCCGAACGTCGCTCATGGAGCTTCAAAGGCATGTAATGGGTGGGATAGACTCACTTTGACGCTGTGTTTGTGGTAGTCTGAAGATGTATGTGAGAGGATGCAAGATCAAGAGTTTGAGCTGTAGCAAGGGATCGAGAGCAGTCGTGAAAGGTTGTTTGAAGCTGAGAGGTGAGCGTGTGAACAAAAGGAGAGGGTTTGCCGCAGAGGAACAGCTGAAGCTCGGGTTTAGCATCCGAGGTTCTAATTCACTCGAGCTTTCTCAAGCCGGCAACAATGGAGTCAATATAAAATTATTCTGCATTGTCAACGTAGGATGAGTTTCTGCAAGGTCGAACAAGATGTTAGGTCTAAGTCGAGATCTTCTTAGATTCCGCGTGATTTTCCGAAGTCGCGGCGGTCGTGGAGAAGCGTCTCGTGCTAGAACAGACCTTGTCGAAAGATTTGGCATCAGAAGGAAGTTCCTCGGGCTCATGAAGGCATTTACGGGTGCAGGAGGAGATGCTGTGATGTCCCAGGCAGGCCTATCATAGCATATTGAGATTGCGACCATACACGGGCTAGTCGTAGCAAGCTCTTAGAGAGAGCATCTTTTTAGATAGAGCAGTCTGTCTTCAACAGAGCATTTGCAAGATCTGCCATCAAACCACAAGAGTGCTCGAGCTCATCTAAGCGGATGTAAGGCTGGCCATCTCTTTGCTGATTTCTCACTGTGTCGATAGAGATTGGCTGGGCAAGCATTTGCAGTGCCTCCGCTTTGACCACCCAATATGCACTCTTCGGATCGCTGTTTAAAGAGGGCCCCCTGCAGTCTCCTTTTGCCAACCTCTGCAGCAGGCATGACTGACTCACATATGCAGCAATAGATACAGGATTCTATAGAAGATGCGATGAGGTTTCGAGCAAAGTTTCCCAGCCTATCGTAGTGCAGGGAACGGCCCCACTTCTCCGTAGTCCGTACTAAATTCAGGGGCCACGCTAGCAGCCTAGCGTTAGGTTACCTTATTTAAGCGGTGCTTAGTGGACAGGAGAAGATGCGTGGAAATCCTGAAGCTTGGCGTGGACGACATGCCATGTCCTGCAACATGACAGAATGTGATACGGTACCTACATCTCCACACTCATGCTTCGCGATCCTGCAATGTCCGTACGCGTGTCGAGAACGGGCTCGATAGCTCAAAGAGGAGCCCCAGCAGTCTGGAAAGTCGGAGAAGATCAAATCCCTGGGACTCGTTGAAGCTTGCCATCCAACCTGGCCAATCTTCTTACAAGTGGCTGCGTTCTACGCGAGGTCTATCTCTCTTTTCGAATTACTTATCAACGGGAAGGCTCTGGCTGCTTGCAGCACCCTGTTCACTTGGTTAGCGTGGATCCATTCAATCCCCGTTCCCATTTACATTCACATATCCTGAGATTTGCGCTCCGTTTCTTCGTCTTCTGTCTTCCTCCTCATACTTTCTTCCTCTCAACCTGTCTCTTTTCTTCTCGGAAACCTTCCTTCTTTCTTTCAACAGCTCTCTGCGTCTTGAAACCTCTCTTCCATTCCCAGTCCTAGCTTTCTACCATTGCAGCTCCACCCTTGCGCACGGACAAAGTATCCTTCAACCTCCCTCTTGCTCCCTCTTCCTTATCCAGCTCTCCTCTTCACCTCAACTTCGCGGCTTTCAGCCATCAAAGCTTCAATCGACAATCTCCATAACCAAATCACCAAACGTTCAACGAGCAAGATGCCAATCAGATGGACTCCCGAGACAGATCAAGATAGTAAGCTCCCATACGTCCTGTCTCATCTCGCTTCTCCATCCTCTCAAGTCTCGGCCCAAAAGAACTTTTGCCATGGAAGCTGATCCACTATCTGAAGCTCTTGCTCAAAATCCTCGAGACCTCTGACGTTTCCCCCAAATGTGTCCGGAGATTGCTGAGAGATGGCGTAAGACCTTTCCACAAGGCT